GAGCGCATATCAGCCGATTCCGTGCTCAACGAACGCGGTGGATCTAGTGCTTAAAGTGGGAAGTTTTCGATAGGAGACGTTGGACTGTGGGACCTGGTCTGGTAATACGGAAGTGACTCGATCAGTTGGTATCCGAATTAACGTTGAAACTGAATCACAAAGAATGGATCATCGTCACGAGACCTGGAAAAGCTACGACAGCGGTATCGTTAGAAGAACTGATGAGTTACCGCATATAGTTTTGGGGAATTTATTATAGAGAATTATAGTCACTCGGATCACTTGGTATTTCAATTCACGTTGAAACTGAATTATGAAGAATGGATCATCGTTGCATGACCTGGAAAAGCTATGGTAGTTCCTGTACCATCACTCTACTCCGATTTTCGGGGAATTGGTGATAAAATATTTTGTTTAGGCCGGGTGTCCAAATATTTGAACATAGATCTCTTGTTCAATATTAGCGTAATGCATATATTATATACTATTAATATGTACAGAAGCCAGAGTACAAGTGGCACGTATCGCAAGCAAACTTTTCGTTAAAGATCGAATATTAGCCATTGTCATATCCGCAAAACGCTAGCGAAATCCTGCTGCATAGTATACGAGGTCATAAAAACGTGTTTCCTATGTGCGAAATATTTCTAATTTATAGCGACGGAGAGATAGAATAGAGAAAAGAGAAATTACGAGACTCTAATAAATTTATAGCAAAGCCTATATTGCGAACAACACCGGTATGATATCATATGTATACAATGTCTGCAAAAAAGAAAAGAAAATAGAAAATACGACGGGAAGGGAACTGTCATGAAATTTGTAAAAAAAACAGTGCCGATAGCTTAACTCAATAAATTATTGCGTCCCATTCTGAAGGATATTCAAATCAGGGTTACGACTATTAATGTGGCAGATATACTAGAATTGGACTTGGACCAAATTAAAGAAACGCATATATATATAGATATAGACACAATTTTTGAACTTTTGAGCATTACTTGCGTAATATCTACATTGATGATAAACTCAATAAGATTTGGCACTATAGGTGGCATTATCTGATACCCAATCACAGTGTGTTTTGTTTTCATAGTGAACTGTTGAAATAGCAGTCAAGACGCAAAAACCTCGGCACTCACTTTAACATTTGAAACACATTAGCCTATCTAGGTGATTACCTGTTTTTATCGTTCAAATTCGAAAGGTTTCATAAATCTGAATAATTCATAATACTTTTTATAAGTTTGATAGAGTAATTTCACTGAATTTGGGGATACTTCGGCAAAATATCTCTGCACCTTAGCATTGTCAGTGGAACTGTTGAAAGAAGGTGGAAAAGTCAGATTTTTGAATCCAAATTTGTTTCCTATAAAGGCCATATCGTCATCAATGGTGTCTACATGAACAATATAGTCGTATTGAAGTTCACATGATAAACACAGTCTGTGGAAATAATTCCAGTGTTGGTCTAGTTGTGCATTCGACTTGGAGTCTACCAAATACAAAACGAAATCATTCAATATTATAACAGGTGCACCGTCCATTTCTTCTCCGTGCCCTCCGCCATATCTTTTGTGAATATTTCTAGCTGCACCAGCGTAACCATCACATCTTTTATTGTTGCAGAAAGCAGGCGACTAAATGGTTCTCGAACAATGACAACTGTATGTATTCATTCTTCGAGCAATCTAGTTGATATTTCGTATGCGTCTTGCAGAAAGGTGTCTTTCTATGAGTGAAGTAGCTCGAATTTCAGTAACAGTATCCATTTCTGACTCTTTGATGAGGTCCTCTGCTGCTGCCAGAAATTTCGCTTGACTGCGCGTGGCACATTTTGGTATTTGACAGAATAGAACCTTCAAGCAATTTAACTATTTTTCATTGAAATGGTGACATACTTACAAAATTTTTATATGTGATATCAAGAACTTATTTTCCGCTGAATGTTTTCTCCATTGCCGATTAATTTATTTAACATTATTCCTTATATTTAGTTATTTATTATTTGTTTACCATTATTACCTTATGTATCATTTTTTTATGATTATTCGATCATTACACATCGTATAGTCTAAGATAAAGTATATCTTTTTTTAAACTATTGGAGTAGGTTAAAAACACATAATGGGCCAAGCATACTTCATTTGGTACATTATTTTAAAAATACAATGGTAATATCCGTGGTGCAGTCAACTTGATTCTACACTCATGTATTTTACAATGTTCCCATGTTTTCACATTTTATCCAGGTATCTGCGTAAAAAAACGGGCGATGATGACGAACGAGAGAACACTAATACATTGGCAGCAGAAATGAGAATTAAGATATCATATGAGGTAGATGAAGAGAATCCTCCATCCCCTGGTTCTGAAATTGAACCAGGATTTGGGCCGGATGGAAAAATGATCAGAACAGCGGATTTGTTGGGTCTCAGGTCAGTCAAACGATTAGCAAAAAGAGCTAAACAGAGTTAGAGTGTAATAGTTAGTGCAAGATTTAATCATTGGACACATAATTTATGTACTTTATATTCTCAAATTGCCCCTATTTTGCATATGTATGAATTTATTTCCAGAATATCGTCACGGTAATAACCGAATTGCGTAAGTCATTTTTAGCAGTTTTGAGAAAAACGTAAAAAACTTCCTAAGGATATTGCTATGCCATGGAAAATCAATAATTTGCCATAGTTCAATTTTTCGATCGTAGACGGATTCAAGTTAATTTGTATGACGCAGTCAAGTGACGTCATAATGGCGCACTGTGACTTAGGCAGAAATGTGTCTATGCCTAGGGGACATACGCAATTTTGCAACTTAACTATATGTACCAGTCCTGAAAACAAAAGAATCCAAAAATGAATGTAATTCTTAGTATATACGATGTCTAATCCCCAAAATAGCTAATCTGTTTCAATTACATTATTTTTTATGTTTAAAAATATATATTTCAAAAAAACACGCTCTGCACATCCACCGAAATAAGACTAAAGTTAAATTAAAGAATAAAACAGCAATGTACCCTATATAAAAGCCAACCAAGGTGAATTGGATTCAGACAGTGAATATCACAAGTGCACGCCCTTCCTATACTGTAGTTTAAACTGATATTATAAGCCGCTTAAGCTAGAATCTGAGATGCAAAAACTTGAAAATCCTTCGCGAGGTTATTTTGCCTTTGTGACGTCATAATAGTCCCGCGTTAACAATGATAATTCATTATGACGAAACAATTGAACAAATTTGCGTATCATACAAAATCTTTATTTTTATGGGTTTCGGAATTCTTAAAATAAAATCTGAGTTAACAGAGAGGTGCGCAGCATTACATAAATACCTGTTTTATGAAAAACTCAAAACCGCCAAAAATGACTTACGCAATTCGGTTATTAGCGTGACGATATATTAAACATTTGGTACAATTCCGATTTCAAAATTCAATTTCAGTTTTTTCTCTTTTCAGTTTTAACTCTTAAATTTGAAGTTCGATTCAATCGTTGCTGGGTAAATTGTCTAAATTATATCATTCATTAAAATCGATCTATGCGGTATAAATCTCGTCAGTTTCGTGTTTTAGACGAAAATACTTTCAAAGACAGTCTTTTCCTATCGTTATACATACTTTATTTGACTGACTTGTATAGTTGCTTGAGGTAATAAACTAGTTCTAAAACTAGAGCATTTTACTACAAACAAGTTCGAGAAGTTGGGTAATACAACTTATAAACTACGCTAACAGCACAATATTATTGTGTATTTCACTTGATTAACGAACATAATAATTCGCTTGAGTCACGTGTTTAAGCATACAACTATCGAATATTTTACACAAAACAAGAAAAAGTAAGTTGTGTCATAAGAGCTCAAATGTCAATCATTCGTTTATTTGTCATCACGAAACACAAGTGTATAGAAAACTGATACAACAAATAAATGTACTAATTATGTTAATTGTTTGACCGGAATTAAGAGGGACCTAGAGAGGTATTTATTCAGCGACACCTAACGCTGATACAGATTGGTTTGAGAAATTAACTGAATGAAGAACAACTACTGAATACCAATAGTTTCGACAGTAAACATATTCGAGACTATTTTGCAAATTAATTAAAATATGCAACTCTATCGGATAAACTTACTGAAAAACAAAAAATCTGACGAAAGGCAAAATAAAAAAAATCTATGAAAAAAATAATTATAGAAACTGCAAAATGTAACGCTAAATAAAGGCAAACAGTACGCACAAAAATATTTATAACTAATGAAATTTTTAAAGACTTATATACCAAATACAAAGAGAGAAATTACCAGACTCTAATAAATTTATAGCAAAGACTAAATTGCAAACAATACCGGTATGATATTACATGTAATAAAAGAAATAATATACGACGGGAAGGAAACTGTCATAAAATTGGTGAAATAAAAAACAGTACCGATAATTTAACTCAATAAACTATTGGATATTTAAATTAGGGTTACAACTATTAATGTGGCAGATATTCTAGAATTGGACTTGGACCAAAATAAAGAAACGCATCGAGATCGACACACTTTCTGAACTTTTTGAGCACATTGATGAAAAATTCAGAAAGATTTTGCATTATAGATGGCATTATCTGATCATAGTAAACGGTTGAAATATCAGTCAAGACGCAAAAACTTCGGCAAATACGAATACGATCGTTTCATTTTTTTCGTATTTTTGTGGTCGAAATAAATAAACAAATCCAGCTGCTGGCTCTTACTACAACATTTAACACAACACTATGTAATTACTTGTTTTTATCCTTGAAATTTAGAAGGTTTCATAAATCCAAACAGTTCATAATCCTTTTTATAAGTTTCATAAAGTGGTTCCACTAAATTTGGGGATACGTCGGCAAAATATTTCTGCACCTTAGCATTGTCAGTGAAACTGTTGAAAGAAGGTGGAAAAGTCAGATTTTTGAATCCAAATTTGTTTATTATAAAGGCCATATCGTCATCAATGGTGTCTACATGAACAATATAGTCGTATTGGATTTCACATGGGGAACACAGTCTGTGGAAAAATTCCAGTGTTGGTCTAGTTGCGCATTCGACTTGGGGTCTACCAAATACGAAACGAAATCATTCAATGTTATAACAGGTGCACCGTCCATTTCTTCTCCGTGCCCTCCGCCATATTTTTCGTGAATATTTCTAGCTGCACCAGCATAACCATCACGTCTTTTATTGTTCTCCAATTTGTTACGATATGCAGAAAGCAGGCGACTAAATGGTTCTCGAACAATGACAACTTTGCTGTATGTATTCATTTTTCGAGCAATCTCGTTGATATTTCGTATGCGTCTTGCAGAAAGATGTCTTTCTATAAGTGAAGTAGCTCGAATTTCAGTAACAGTATCCATTTCTGACTCTTTGATGAGGTCGTCGGCTGCTGCCAGAAACTTCGCTTGACTGCGCGTGGCACATTTTGGTATTTGACAGAATAGAACCTTAGAACAATACAATTTTATTTCAAATGGTGAAATACTTATAAAAAAAATTTACATAATAGCAAGGAGTCATTTTCCGCAAAATGTTTTCTCCCTTGTTGATCAATTTATGTATTATTATATTATTTCTTTCACTAAACTCTCATCATATATTTATTAATTATTTATTTTTCATTATCAACTGATGTACCATATTATTGTTTTAATATTATTCAGTCATTACACATCGTATAATAGAAACCGTGAAAATGTTCGGCTGAATGAAAATTTATAGGACACAAAGCAAAAGTAAAATTCATGTTTGAAAGTGGAGAAAAATTGAAACAGTTTTTGTTTTCAAAAATAGAGAACGCTTGCAGGATTCCTTAATAGGTAAGCAAATTCGTCAGTTTAATGACATCTTTTACATGGAATTGGATGCAAAATAATCTAGAATTTAAATAAATAATATGCAATAGAATACACATTTAAACTAGAAAGAATAACTAAGTTAGAAGAAATAAATGGAATCATATTGCAGAAGAAAAAAATGTAAATATGATGTTTTTAACGAAGGCCTTAATTTTGAATGAGTCCTCTGATCACACCTTGCTGCTACTAAGGATGGCAAAGAAATAGTTTGTTTTGTCGTTTAAATCCCAAGCATCTTTATGTTAATAAGATATGATTTTTCTAAAAGTGAATCCATCAGTACGCAATAATTAAGGTGGCAATTATCAGACTAAAATATTAATAGTATAAATAACTCTTAGATACATTGTTCGATAACAGTAGTTCCAATGCAAAACACTGTATCAGTAGATAACATTAAGTTTTGTGCAAAACAGGCCTGTTAATACTGCGATATTTTGTAAATGTCTCACCTTAAACTCGTCAGAAAAGAATAAACTTGTCTTTAGGAATGGATTTTTTACATACGTCACGTCAGAAGAGGATGGCCTATTTTTCGAATATTTACGACATGCACTGAGCATCATTTCACGACGAAACTTCATACTTCTCTCTTGAAAAAAAAAACTTTTTTAAGTAAGTGCAAGGCTCTTATATTATATGAAGCATGATGCAAATACCTGCTTGATATGTGGTGGAATTATGGTCGAGCTGGGACCTGTAGATTTCATATCTCTCCGGGGTACCACTCTCGGTTCTCTGTATATTATATAAAATGTGATTTCTTTAATGAAATGAATCTATATCACAATAAAACTATCAATAGTAGGTATTTATTTTATCAGATAATATTTGTTTTTTATTCCGGAGAATAATTATTGACTACTGACGAGCAACATGCCACCTTCTCTATTTTCTAGTTTGGTCAGGGATATTTGAATGACTATTACTGTTTCGAAAATAGTCATAATCGTGGCAAAATTATTGATTTACAAATAAAGTAAAGAGTTTAGCTAATTTACAACAAGAAGTTTTGTTCTGACGGTACTCGAATACCTATTTTTTTATTCAGTGACTTGATTTAGAAAAACAAGAAAACAAAATAAAATTGTATACATTGCCGGATTTGTTAACCAATAAATTGCTATTGCCTATTATCAATGTCAACTGGCTGCCGCGACTGACTGTCAGTAACATTTGAGCCAACTTTTAAATAATTGTTGTGTGAAGGTGTCCTCTAAATCTCATATATATATCTAAATGTGCGCCCATCTTCGGATGAATTTTGTAAGACCGGGAAGGGAAAATAAAAAGCAGCAAGTTAACTTAAAATTTTAAATCGAGTGCTTCATTAATTACGCAGAAAAACATTTTTCAGAACTACCTTCTTTACCATTTGAAAAGTTTGTCCGATCAAGTACAGCCCCAAGAGAAGTGCAGCAGTAATCAGCAAGACTTTATGTTCACGTAGTCCCATAACTTTTTACTTCGCTTTGCAGAAACTTCATTAGAACCGCGTTTAATAACACGTATAATATAAAAAGACAGCAGCAAATTTTTCATTAAATTGGATTGCATTCTTCTGCACCGCTTATTTTTGTCATAATTGCATTCTTTTGATTATGTTTCTTGTTCATGACATTTTTGGTTAATATTAAAGGTCCGCCGGTCCGCAAAATTTGTTTTGAAATTTTACCGGTCCGCGAACTGAAAATGGTTAAGAAAGAGTCACTGGTCTAGTGGCTCTTTAATATAATCTCTGGTAAGCGATGTTAGTTGGTACGGTACTCAACGTCAATATCAGTAATTTTATAACTATATTATTTCAAATTAGATATTAGAACTCTGGGAGTTGCTGCTCGATAACCAGCTTTGGTTCCCGCGACCTCATCGTCTAAATCCGGTTGACCTCATCGTCTAAATACGATATCATGCAAAATTAAAACCTATTTTTATTTACTTACTATTTCGTTTACCTCAGGAATATCTAATTTTTTCGGAGAAGATGTATTTTGTACGTACGCTTATATTACATACGAAAGATTTTATACACAATGTGACCAATAATTTGAAATAGTCCCTGAGTTTAGGAAATCAAATACTACTATATATATGTTCAGCGATTATTTTGATTTCCGATTATGGTCGACAATTTGGTAAAAAGTATCATCTATTTGTATTTATTTATTATTCCAACGGGGCGTAAAGTTGTTCTCGGATGAGTTGCGCCGCCCAAGTATGAGGTTAACTCTTGCATTACGACACGAGTAAAGACTAAAACACCTATAGTTGAGAGCATGGGCAATGTTCCACATACAAAATAGTGGTTGACCATACTAAAGCAGAGGATATACACCTGGTAATAATACATCAGTAATTTACGTGTTGAACTGCAGGTTAAGAAAACTCGGTCGTAATATTATATATATCGCAACAGTTAGTTGTTCATAGAATAGTCAAATGAAGACTGTGGGCGTTTTTGTAACGACTCATAACTATAATTTGACCACAAGATATAATGCAAGAAGGCAAACTATTAGAAAGCGTTATAGACGTTTCTCAGAATATTTATTAGTTCATTATTATACCATATGAATAAATATTTTATAATCAACTCTAAAAACGTCTAGAATTGTTTTATCACTGCGTTTGGAATCTTTAATTTTACCTGCGTTATTATGGATATAGTCACCCTTATATGAGCATACTTTGTCTGATAACTTTGTCTATCTATCAGATCCGTTCACACTATAACTAAACTTTGCTTTTTTACGTAATGATTCGCTGTTGCTTTTCAACTATTTGACTTCACTAAATATAACAGATTGAAGGCCTGGGTACAAAAAGGTGCTGTACAAAAATATCTGAATAAAGAATAAGGCGCGAACAGTGAACAATCATATAGCCCTGGAGAGAGGCAAAAATAAAACTAGCATAGGCAAATAATAGCGTACATTCACTAAAAGTACGGAATCAGTTTTCTGTTTAATGATGAGATACGGGATAGTATTATTTCCTGCGTATTCAAAAAAACATTGCTTGCAAATAAAGTGTTGATAAAAAGTCTACAATTTAACATATAGTCAGTCACTCAGAAAAGCCAACGCCCCGTAACGTTTTGCACACCTGAATCTTTTGTGTTGTCAGTCGTTTTAAAATTTCAATTATAATTTGATTAAATATTTGAGGAAAAATATTTGCTCAATATCGATTGGCGCTTGAATTAAGCAATGTCAATACGGTCCGGAAAACAGCTATGAGGTATACATTATATTCAACGTACACTAACATACTCAAAAAAAAATTTCGGAGCACGTTCCGTAAGTTCAGAAGAACACGATCCTTTATAATGCCCATAAAATGAGCACAGCGACCAAATATTTTTACTATGGAAACAATAATCTGTCGCTTTGAGTTCGGTGGAATAGGAACAGGTTGTACTGCTCAACTTTTCAGCTAAAGATGTTGGCTGCCGTAGATGCAAGAAGTGCATTTAATTCACCAAAGCTTAATGTCACAATGGTTTCGAAAGCCTCAGATGGTCGCTTGCGATCTGTACTGAATGCCACAATAAAAGATCTAAAAGTCAAGAAAACCAAGGTGCTATGGGTAGTTTTCTAATCTTATTGGCAATGCTGTTGACGATGATGACAAAAACAAATCATGATGCTCGACTCGCAGCTCTCTTTGCTGCTTCAAATCAGAAAATTTCATTTTAATCAAACCAGAACTTATGATCTCTTGAAAGGGATATAATTTATTAGGCTATCTGGGTTTACACACCTATTTTCAACCTGATCTTGAACTACTTGAATTTTTGTTAGACCTGTCCGTGACGAGTTTTTAGTTTGGAATCAGATGCCTCAGACCACGTAATACTAGTCAAAGTTAAGGTCTAGTTGTATACCTTTTTAGAACTTTGATTTATACTGAACTACATAATATGCTATATGCTGTTCTATAGCATAAAAAGGCATCTGTTTTATACGATCATTCGGAAAATAGACACATGTATTTATGCAAGCATGTTAATATATGAACATACCTTCATACCTTGAACTCCGGAAAGTTAATAATTAATTGCACCTAGGTTGTCGAACTTCGTACGAAGATAGATTTACTATATTCTAGTAATGACAACAGCAATTCATGTCAAGTCTTCTACGAGCCCAAATCTGGATTTTTAAGATGTCTGATCAATGTTAGATCAAGGCAACTTACCCTTGGGAGAAGTTGATATTGATTTTAAAACAGTGGTTCTCAACCTACGGTACCTTATTTAGTTCCAAAGGCACATTTCGAACCTTAAGTTGTAAGGAGCCGCATAAAAACAAGGCAAATTAAAATAGCAACCAAACGATCGCATTTAAATGACCGATTATATATAATTATAAAAAGTTGGCTTGACATTTTGACTTGACAAACTAACAAATAAATATTTTGATCGAAAATACCTAAACTTCGCACAATGTACGTATGGGATATTCTTCTTGTGATTACTGAAAACGATGAAATAAGTGTACTGAAACGTAGGCTAAACATTGTGGGAAGAAACACTATGACACCACAATAAATAGTTGAACCACAAACTATCTAATGGTTACAATAACATCAATTTAACTACTGCACTCAAGTCTTTCAATTTCAAGTCTTCGATTAATTTTCATTGAAAATGAATAATTTTAAACGATAATGAGAGCCACAGAAAAAATAGTTAAGAGCCGCATGACGCCCTTATAGCCGCGGTTGAGAATCACTGCTTTAAAGAGTCCGTACATGATCAATATGAAAGATATATGGAAGATAGCAGAGCAATGCTCAAATATACGGACACGGAATCAAAACGAAATTTTTTACCAGCAATTCCCAAGAAGTAGCGAATTCATCAGTAGCGACACCAGCATACCCGGAATGTTCTAGTTTTCCTAAGTTCTGTGACGATGATCATGCATTCAGCTTTTTAATTTTAATCGAAATGTCAATTAATTCAAATCTTTCATAGTAATGGTAAACTTATAGCAACTAACCCCCAAATATACCCCATTTCATGTTAAAAATATGAAAACAAAGTTAATTTTTCCCAAAATTCGAACAAAGACTTTCGTAGGAATCAAATTACACCAGTTTAAGAACATAACAGTTCCATCCAGTCATTATCAAATTAAAATTTATATTCTCAAGACCTTTGGCACTGATTGAAATAATTATATCTAAGTTCCCATCCGTACGATGTACCTAATTACCCTTTTTGAGATAATAGGAGTTTCTGTTTATAACGTGAATCACGAGCTCACGTTTACAGCATTTAATTGGATTTATGATCAACGTATAAATACGACTCCGATATCTTTCGATAAGAGAGAAACGATGTAAACCATTCTAAGCTAGTGTGGATAAATGTTTAAGATTTATTCTGTGTGTTGTGGAAATTTACGAATAAAAACATATAGAGATTTTTAACGCATCTTCTTATTCACGTGGGCGTTGAAGCTGAAGGGTGAACGGGTGACTTGCAAGTCAGAGACAATCTACGAAATAGCAATATACGGTAACATCACATTCATCTAACAACCATTTATGCTATAAATGGTGACAAAACCGACTTGAATTAACCTTCTGAAACGGACCAGATCAACGGACAACAATCAGGACAGGCAACAATTTGACGGAATCAACGAAAAAGCTGACCAAGCGAAAGCTTTCAACAATTGCCGAGAAACCGTCTATACAAAACGTGCGAAAATCAAATTCGACCAACTTACGAACGTCGGGGAGATTCAAATTGCCTGAAACAACGATGAAGTATCAAATTGCTGACAAGTCGAAATAATGAAGAACATTATGAAAAGACAATAATCTCAATTGAAAACAGTTGAACTATGGTAACGGACTCTGGAAACGTTAAAATCATGAATATGGACTGTATTGAACATCGATCGAAATGAACTCTTTTAGAACATGATATATGTTCGAGGTGAAAAACCTAATCAAAAAAACGAACTGTTGAAAACAATGAACTATATGGACTGTTTTACGGTAAATTACGCGCTCTATTCCGAAAATAGAGAGAAATTTTCGCGCATACCTAATGGATATACAGATCAGGAGCATGTTATCCTACAATTTGTTTCATGATTTGCAGGTTTTTCTCCTCATTGAGACAGATATTTTTCATTCTTCCACTAATACTAAGGTAAAGTACTTTTTTTTCTTATATATACATGGCGTTTCATTCGACTTTCAATTATTATAAATTATTTAATGGTAACAACTTTGAATATTCTAATTTCAAATACCTTTCAAGAGATTTATATTATTGAATATTTGTGGTTAGCATTCCTTTTCGATTAAATAGATTTCGTTAGAATTAAAATGCTTTCTAAAAGTAGATTCGAGCGAGTCATACTTTTAATTATTTACAAAGCCGTCATATAGAACGGTGAAATAATAAGCTCGTTAAACAAAAATTGTATCAAAAGCGTTATTTTTTCAAAAAAGCCCTGAGATGGCATAAACTTAAAAATGCGTTTTTTCATCCCGACATGGGACAAATATATAGACCAACTAGGTCGCAACGCGTTTTTTCTTCCCGACATGGGACAAGCATATATTGACCAACTAGGTCTACAAAATCGTAACAATGCGATAAAGCGAGTATAGTATTTTAACGTAGCGAAATACATTGAATTGAAAATATGTTTTAACCGTCCAAACCAAAATTTTTAAAATAAAAATACGCCATCCTTCTGTAATTCTACTTTACAATCTTTACTCTTTCTATAAACTCTTCTTTATTTCAATGTCGTGTCTCATTGTAGATCATATACATGTAAATATTTTTTTGACCTATATCATTAATTTTAGCATTGTGTATTGTATTTTTCTATATATTTTCAATTTATTAGAGGGTGCCAAATCTTTAAACTTCCAGTTAGTAAGATGGGGAGATAATATAGCAACTAACCCCCAAATGTACCCCATTTCATGTTAAAAATGAAAACAAAGTTAATTTTTCCCAAAATTCGAACAAAGACTTTCGTAGGAATCAAATTACACCAGTTTTAAGAACAACATGTTCCATCCATTCATTATCAAATTAAAATTTATATTCTCAAGACCTTTGGCACTGATTGAAATAATTATATCTAAGTTCCCATCCGTACGATGTACCTAATTACCCTTTTTGAGATAATAGGAGTTTCTGTTTATAACGTGAATCACGAGCTCACGTTTACAGCATTTAATTGGATTTATGATCAACGTATAAATACGACTCCGATATCTTCGATAGAGAGAAACGATGTAAACCATTCAAGCTAGTGTGGATAAATGTTTGATTTATTCTGTGTGTTGTGGAAATTTACAAATAAAAACATATAGAGATTTTTAACGCATCTTGATTCACGTGGGCGTTGAAGCAGCTAAAGGGTGAACGGGTGACTTGCAAGTCAGAGACAATCTACGAAATAGCAATATACGGTAACCTCACATTCATCTAACAACTATATATGCTATAAACTACTTTCAGCTTTCCAAAAACTCAATCGGTAACATGCGGTCGTGAAACCGTTGCAAGTAATTTTGTTGACGTGACTGGACAAAACATGAAAAACGAATCCCGTAGAACCCACAGAAATTGTTGATAAAATAAAAGCTATAGGCTTTTAGCGACAACAACAATCTTCAACTACTGAAAATTTCAAGGCAATGGTCGAGCAGTCAAAGAGAATTTTTTCAAAACAACAAGATGAAGGAGAAGAATTCTGAAAACAACAATTTAGGACCGCTTAATGTTTAATTATCGTTTGCTTTTCCATAAGAATATGCAAATTTCGACTGGTATAGACTGCTGAAAAATGCTTCCTGCGTCCTTAGATTACCAAATCTGATACAGACGCAATCGCAATATTGGAACGCGAAATCCTAAACGATCTAATTGTAAAAAATCTGTTTGAAAGATATTAACAATGGAACTAATACAATTATATAAAGGTCAATTTTACTGAATCCAATCTTAGATGTTCATTATTCGTTCTTAAATTCCAGTCCAGTTAGTCCAAATTACACTATATGAATTGGTCCGTTTGCCTTTTCAGTCAAGTTTATTTTATTCCTCCGTGCTTACCTCAGAAAGAGATGAGTAAATCCAATTTATGACATACGTCCGGGTACAATAAAATTTCATAGGTGAAAAAGCTTACAACACTGAACTTCTTCACAGATCCACAATGAGTGAGGTGGTGTTAATGGGATTTGAGATCAAATTTTATCATCCTAGTTATACTACACCAAATCCTTTTGATAAATCAATATGATACATCAGATCCTGTTATTGAATACTTCATTGAATATATAATCGCAAATAAAACATCATTTTCCATTGAATAATTGAATTTGAGGCTGTAAAAATTCCATTATCTCGGACTAGATTTCGCTAAACGACGTGGAAGAAGATGTACAATTGGAAATTTCGGACCTCCAGAAGTATGCGTACCAAGATGACGCACAACCTGAACTTAGTATGTGTGTACCGGTCAGGATTCAGGTTGTACGACATCCTGGTGCGCATACTTCTGGAGCACCAAAATTTCCATATATTCTAAAATAGTATCGAAATATTTTATATTGCAGTCACTATTATTAAGCGCATGTTGTAGTTGTCATTAGATATGTGTATATCTCATTTGAATCTCAACGAATAGTGACTTTTAGTGAGAAGTACATGGCAACTCCGATTCCTCGTGCTTCCGAGCTTTTTCAGCACGCGTACCATGAGGATTTTCATGCACAAGATACCCACAACGAAGACAAGATATTTAATCACACTGCCACAGCATAATTAATTTTTCAACAATCATACCGAATATCACACCTACAAATTGTTTCATTTTGTTCCTAATCTAATTGCTTTATCCCTAATCTATCTAAGCAGCTTTCGCATGGGGGTTAGGATTTTGTTACACCCACCTACCAATCTGAAGTACTCCAAAACAGAGAAATATAATGTTATAGATTTATAGAACAAATGAACATTATAACCATAATTTTATCATCACGCTTTATTATGACTTGGTGGAAAAAATCAATAATACCTCCATATCAAGGCTTATTACTAGAAGAACATCACAAAGTTGCCTATTAGGTCACACGTGAAAATTTGTGAACAAGTATCGCTTTTAGGCATAATGATTTTTTAATTTATCTTGGGTTGCTGTCTTACAATGTTCGGCATCGGTCTCGGTGTGAGGAAGTCTGAAACAATATCGAAATGTGTCACACTCAACCAAATCCTGTGTAACATAACATGACTTGAATTAAACCATGTCATTGTTGTCTAATATCGATTAAACATCCATTTGTTTTTTCAAGGCTTCGTTCAACATAATACAACACTTATTTAAATTCATGCTCGATATGATATAAAAATATCGGCATATTATTATTTTCATGTTTATTCGAGTACGATGTGAGACTTGCAACTCGTTGGTGCACAATCAAGTGGTTTCGATATTCCGTGATATCATCTTGACCTTATTTGAGTTATAAATATCTTTATAAGAGATAAATACAACGAGAAATTCAACGACAATCTGAATTTCAACTATGATGTTTATTAGCCAATTTATATTTTCCAATTTATATGCTAATTAAAGTATATATGCAAGAAGATAAAAGGTTCAAAATCAACAATTGATTCTTCATCACTTTGAATTATTGTTAAATTTGGGCAGATTCATGGTATTGTTCTGAAAGCGTTATTCGTGACATGATATGCGGTGCTGGTCAGGGTCTGCTCAACGATACATGGGTACGCTACCGTTCCAGAATGGTACTTACGGTTTCGTAAAACGAAACAGCCTAGAATTGCTTTGTCTAAAAGGGCAAGTAAGTGTCCTCAAACTATGACGTCAAATTTTTAGTCGGGCTTAGCGATCGGAACATGTAGCACTTGAAGCCGAAAATTTGTGGAATAAAATCCGGCAAGTACAACATCGATTGTTTTTTTTACAGTCGATTACAAATGCTACTGGCAACTTTGCCAATTATGTGATCAAAATAGTTACAGATAATGATGGAAAATATGTGTGAGAGACAGAAACTTTGCAAGATACCAGCTTATTCCACATCCACTCAACCAACACAAAATCAAGACGAAAACGATAACACGGAAACGTTATTGCTATCTGGCGGAGGAACTTCGGGGCAACTGATTTTATCTCATGTAAGTATTCGTCGTATTAAAACTTAGATTTAATTGAAAAAAATGGGAAAGATCTATGCACATATTCTTTAATTTTACAACTGGCGTGTATAAGTCTGAATGTTTTAATTAAAGAATGCACTCAGTTTAATGATAAAATGAAATTTGCTCGTCTTTTGTCACCATGCAAAAATTTGTTACGCGATTTCTGTATAGATAAAGCGACACGATTTCTGGTATGAGTCTATTTCAGATCATTTTGCATATAATACACTTTGTCAAGTAAAAGTTCACAGCTTTTAGGGTGTGCATGTGTTATTTCAGTAGGAGTAAGCTTTGCCGGAGTTTATTCCAAGTATATAACCTTGCAAACGTTTGAAATAAACGATAAATTATTATCAAATAAAGAAACATTTAATGACATCTCATGATCTATTCAATAAAAAATAAATTCCAAAATACGTTACGAACCTTCATTATTTTGTTACGGCAAATGACAGCTACAGTTTTGTTACATTAATTTTGTCGTTTAGGATAAAAACTATAAAATAATGCCCATAAAATTTCAGCACGTTTGTGCTACTATAATTTTTTTTTTAACATTTGTGACCGCATAGGGGAGTATTAAATTGAAAAAACATGTTAATAAACAATCACCTGTTTATCAAATGTTACTTTACTAACAACAAATGTTTTTATATTTGCTTTTGTAGAATAATGCCTCATCAGAAAAAGAAACAGATACAACGTTGCCTAACTTATCTGAAAACAACGTTGCCAGAATGAGGTGGTTGGAAGGTATTTACATAGTTTTATTATTTGACATAGTATTTTACACGTTTTTTACATTTCGGCATCAATGTAATCACATACAATCTAGGGCTAAAAGATAATTTAATTTGTCTAAAATTGGTTGTATGGCGATATGCATCGAACAACTCTAACCCATAAAACGGTTAAGTTGTACATGGTTTTTAAAAAAGTTTCATGATCATCTGCGTGTTTTCAACCACTTTTTATTCACTTTTGCTTCCTTTTTTACCAATTTTTAACACAAAGTTCCTATTACTACTGACCGCACCATATGGCATGCACTAAAATTTCGAATTATTGATATTTTATAAGACACAAAGTGTTATTTTAGTTTCAATTTATTTTTTACGGGGTCGTATATTTTGACCAAAATTTAGCTGGATTTTTCATATTTCACAAGCACATCTTCATATGATATCCGGTAATAAAATTTGAACCTTCGGCTGGTTATCATTTTGCTGACATCACATTAGTCATTTGACCTTCGTTTCCGTGTAATTGAACACTGCTCTCTTGTTTTTAAGGGGATGATTCGGACGAAGATATCGACTACAATTATCAAGACAATCTCAGTAGTAAACACCACCAAATCCACACTGAAAATATCACTCCAAGATTTGCAAACACTAGAAAAATGTTGCCAAAAATATACGATTCCGCAAAAGTCAGAAGAAATATATTCAACGATCCTAGATCATTGTGTAACAAAATAAAGATGTCATGCAATATTAGCGCATTTGGCACAGGCAGAAGATCTTCGTACACAGGGATATCTGGAGACGCAAGTGCAGAGGAGTCTCTGATATCCAGTAAACCCAGCATCCAAGGTACCGCTTTACTAAGAAAAAACAGAGGCGAAAAAGCTCAACTGATTGATGCTGATGATTTTATGCATTCAGCAAAAGAAATGCCCATTCAAAGATCTATCGAATTTAGAAAGCCGTGGTCAAAATCAAGAATTTTCGTTGGTCGTCCGCAAAGTGGACAGCCTGTAATGTCGAAACGTTCTATGTCAGAATCATACGGTTCAATGGAAATGACATGCGTCGGTTCAAAAATTAGAACCGATCTGGCTGAACCGCCAAAACTAAACCCTGAAAATAGAGCTCAAAAAGCAGCAAGAAAATTCAGAAACATTCGTGCTAGGAGCGCTTCGCTTGTAGAGAAAACGCTGCAATAGGTGAAGGATATATTGCAATATTATCGAAGACATTGGTGATGGTCAATTATTAAGTGAATTCCACTTGATAAAAATATTGAATAGAATTAAAGAACGCATTCAACATTAATACCCATGGATTGGAAGACATCGCAGCTTTTCGTCCGTGTTATTAATTTATAGAGAAGAGATAAAATGTTGGGAATAAGTCTGAAAGATGAATCTATATACATGCTACAATAAAGCCTCTGGACAGGAAAATAAAGACGGTGAGATAAAACACTGACTTTCAACTTGACTCAAGACTGAAAACGAAGCACTCGGATTTAGTCAATGTTTAAACAGTTTAGCGTTACTTTGGGTTACAAACATGTTTGAAAGACCATTCCGAGTCACCATCTTTATAGATCAGGCCCATAAGTTGGCGATACTGTGGTCATAATCTTTATGAGGCAAATAAACAAAACTATCAACATATTTATTGCTGAATCATGAAGTGCTTTATGTGGACATTTAAATTGAAGTCTTGTTGAAATTTGCGCCAACAGTCTAGAACTCTGTCTTGTACGTCTGTCTTCATTTGAATGAAACTGCTTTAGTTGAGAGTATTTTATTGTATGATTAATTTTAAAATAGCACGTTCTTGTTTATATTTCGCGGTTTGCTAATAAATATATTTGCTACGCTTGTCAGTTGTCATACGCATTGTTCTCTAAATAAACATATAGATAAATATAGATGAAAGCTGATTTGCGCTACTGTTCATCAGATTAAGTGCATTTAGGCCAGTTACATTTTATAAATGTATATTCTAGATAGCACGGCAATTGTTTATCGAACGTCTGGGGCTTCAGTAATCATTGGCCCAAAACCAACCAAAGAAACTTTGTTCAATCATGTATTAAAAGAGAAACTGGAACTTACGAAGTAGGCTGAGCCTTCCAAGCACTTTTACTCACTAAATCGATATTTTGTTTGTTCAGTCGCATTATGAGATCCTCCGTAAATATATAACTACAGTACGTGCCTTCAAAGATCGTCCGACGTTAGGAATGTAAACCATTTCGATTGGCCAAAGTTTAGGATGCCAAAAATCAAGACTTCTTAGTTTATTTCGTATTTAGCTTTAAATCGTGTATAACAGCTATATTCAACCTTAACAAACCAGATATTGTAAGTGAGATGTACTCAAACAGTGAGCAAAAATTATTTACTGAGAGCTTTTTTTCTTGAAATAAATTGAGTCAACTTTAAGAAAAATGTACTGATAAAAAATCCTGGATTTCGTATTCCCAGTGCCATAGATTTTGAAAGAAATGTTCTATTTTCGGAATGGCAAATCATATTTTGATATCACGGTATATTTCTGTGAGAATGATATTATGGCAAATTGTTGCCAAATACATAGCATAATTCCTCGACTTATATAAGACATATTGAATGTCAAAATAAGTCCAAAATTTAGAGAAAGAATATTCAGAATGGATTAAATATGTCAAGAAAATTATCTATCAATTTATTGTGCGCCTCATTTTCCATAGTAAAGATTTGTGTAACTTGTTTAAGACTGGTGTATGGTAACAAATACAAAGAGTGTTGAATTACTTAGCCTTTTGCCACGGAAAATTACACCACACATATTCGCCCGAGCGATGTTGTCAGCGAGTGCTTGAGCTTTTGTTGCTAGCCCATCGTGGCCTATTGTTAAGGACGATTAAATACACTTAGGGGACAAAAGTGACTGACTCAGAATTATCCTAATATCAAACATGTTTGCAGTAAAAAAACACGTGAGATATGTGATGAAGTATGGTTATTACATGAATTATTAAATTTTATGAGCAGTCGTTTTTCGTTTGGTGACGGTACACTTATAAGGTAAAGGGGAGAGTGTCTGTGTGTTTATTGGCTCGTACTTGACGTAAGACTATTTCAAATTGTAAATATTAAATCAACGACTTGAATGAAATCGTAGAGAACCGAGATATATATTTGGTAAACTTATATATAACTTCATATTACCAAGAATGTTTCTTTTCTGCAAGACTTTAAAAGTAAAGTATGAATATATCAGTTGGTTTGCATTCTTACAATGAGATATTATAACTATATTCTGAGTTCAAGCTGAAAATTATTTTGAATTGAAATGCCGTCAGCGCAAGAAGATGCCGAAAAATTAGAGTATGCGGCAAGATTGTCCGGATTATTGCTCAATGAAGGTACCGATGTAATGAGATGGTTTCTCATGGATAATCTACCTAGACGAATTGACGAAAAGCCGGACCTCGCTCAGGTAACATATTCGGAGTTGTGTGGAGAAGCGAGCTAATTAGAATAATTCAAAATACAAGCTAGGTCTTTGTATAGAAATTTATTCGAAGCAGAATTTTAAAAAAATGTTTCAATATTAATATCAATAAGCGAGGCTGGTGCTCTAGGCGTATGGCAGCCAACAACGTTTTTCATTGTTTGCCGACTATAATATAACGTAGTACACAAAGATAAGGAATGTTTCACGTTTTTAGAACTTTAGAAAATTTCAGTGATATTATATTTTAGGTTTAAATATGAGTACTGGTTTTAAGTAAATTATGTAATTGTTTCGATTGTCTGTAATTCCGGCACATAAACAAATTAAAATTGAGTGTCATTTTGGACAGCGATCTCGGCGGTGTGTGATCTCAGTTATTACTTATCGATCTTAAGATCGGTAAGTATGTTGATAGGTATTTGTCTGTACGTATGTCTGTTTGTCTGTATGTATGTTTGTCTGTGTGTTAGATGCACGCGATATCTCACGAAAGCGAGGTTGAATCTGCTCCAAATCTTGCATGTGCATTCATAGCTCGGATCAGAAGCCTATTAATTTTGGATGAATTATGTCTTATAACTAGCGAGTTATTAATTAATTAGTGATTGGACACACGGTGTCACTATGGAGTAAGACCACTATTTTGGGGGATATCCTGACCTTCGATCGATAAGTCTTCGGTTTCTAACCGATATTCTAGTTTCAGTATTAATTAAAACCGAACGACGACATGGTGAGGACTTGAATTCTGTAAAAAATTCCTTACGCGATTGAGATCACATTACAGAGGTGAGATAACATACCAAAGCAGTTTTAGGGGGCTGAGATTGCTTACCGAAGCATCAAAACTTGTGTTTGCTTTAATAAAATTAATAATTTGCTGGATAGTTACTTGCAGTAAATCGAAAATCCTTCCAATCTTTGCTACAAAATGTTGATGAAAACATCGACGAACTCTACTTTGGACACGAAATGTTTGACATGCTATACCCTTCTTACGACATGCAAATTGATGAAGAAAATTTGGAAATTTCGCTCATATTTATCCTCATAAGGTAAATTACACTTCAATTACCCTCCCTTGTGACATACAATTAGTGTAATGTTGTCGAGCGTGAAAAATTGAGTCAGATAATATTTACCATTCGATGAACAAAGTGATGCAAAATATCACAGATTGAATAGAAAAATATGCATACGGGACTCAACCTCTCTTTTTGGCACAGTACGTTACATTGATTCACTGATCTTTAAACGTCGATGGTATGGCCTGATAGAGTAAATTTGTTGGCACTGTTGGATAATCATTCCGAGTCTCGTATGTCTAACACAGTAAACATATCAATTCTTTAAACCACAAACCATTGGATTCATATATGCAAGATGGTACACTATTAAGCCGAGAAACCGATTAAGTATTCTATTATCATTTTATAATTTAGATTTCTTTGCAAAATCAAGCATGCTACGTGGAAATGGTGGGATGAGGAGCCCCAAGTCCACCAAACAGCACCACTATTCGACATCATTAGATTATTTAGATTTAAAGTTCGAATGCAAAGTGAGTACTCATAGATCATATATCAACATTTGGACTTTTAAATATTACATATAATCATCAAATTCACAGTTATATTGAGATGAGGTCAAGATTCGTATTTTCTGAATCTGTCAACTGTAACAGTAACGCAGGGGACACGCATATATTAGGTTCACCTTTAGTTTATTCTGGGGCCCTTCCAAAGCCATATTTTATTGAAGTTTATAGCGCACGAGCAGCATAAATACCATAGGATAAATGAGAGATTCAATATCAATAGTGATGTAAAGCCAAGCAAACAGCAATGTCTTCAAACTTATTCCAAAAAAAATCGTTGTTGTCGGTTCGCTCCGCGACTGTCTCTTTTTGGTTTTCTCATGTATCAGAAATACCGAGTTCAATTACAAACAAAGTAAAATTTCGTCTGTAAAACATTTGTGTTCAGACATAGTCCACAAATACGAAATAAACAAGGAATCCTTTGATGCTTCCTTGGCCTACGCCACGAAGATCATAGAAAGGCTGCGCGGATTCAAAATGTCTGCCAGGAGATGGAAACATGACGTTATTACTTACGAAGAAAATGAATCTGTTACCAAAAAACGAAAAACGTTAGACCTCGTTGCAGTTATGAGGTGGCAAACCCTACCAATGGAACAACGAAACGCAACATATTTGGTTATGAAGAGAAATTTTAATGATAAAATATCTAAAGTGAGTATAATAAAAGTTTTTTAAGTCGAATCGGGTGTATTTTTTAGCATGGATCATGAATGACAATTGTCACATTGTCATTGGTTTGCTTGGTTGTAAATGAATTGTTCAAAGTAGAGGAAGTAGCGGTAGCCACGACTCTTGAACTATCTTGTGAATCTTTTCTTTCTAATCCTTTATTAATTTTGTGGCAATTTAGTTATTTTGAATCAGGAATGGCTGCTACAAAATATTAATTTAAACAGTGAACGTAAAGGCAAAGGAGGTGATCTCTGGACTCAAGCGATACAGACGCTCTCAAGAATTACAGCCAGAAACTACGTTTAAATACCGATTAACACAAAAGTTGAAGTAGCGAAAGACTTTTGTTGTGAAGTTTTGCCTTTGTACATTGACAATAACAATTTCAAAAGAATTAAAACTGGATTTCCGGTTGATTTTTTTTTTCAAATTAACAAATTAACATCCCTCAAAAATGATATTACTTACATATCTCAGTTTCAAGACACTGGAGATGCATGGAAGGATTTCATTTCATGTTTTGGTCAAATGAAAAACTTGGATGTAAGTAGAATAAACGACATAGAACAGTGTGGTGAGGATGAAAGAGTACTCACGCACAAAGCAAATGATGTTAGCCACCGTGATTATCAAAAGATTTCCGAAACTCCAGCAAAGATTCTTCATTGGCATTTGGTTCATGATAAACAATGGAAAAAAATGATAAATGGTAAGAATAATTGGCAAAACCTTAGGCAAATGAATGGTTCAAAAAATCGAACATAATGGGAGTATGTGTTTAACAATGTAATTAGGGGTTCAATAAAGCGACCATATCGCTTTGTTTCCTAGGATCTAGTGATGTACAACCAGCAATAGGCGCGCAATATATATGATAAAATCGTATTCATTCAAAATAGTTTTCGCGTAAATGAATGCCCCCAACCCCCCTACAACAATGGCTTATGGAATGATCCCACGATACCAAATATCAAAATGGAAAACAATTTACTTTCTTTTGATTTAGAACCTTACTAATATTTCATAATATTATTACACTAGGCATGAACAACTCTTACTATCTTTCTACTAACACAATGAAATATACAATTTCAGGTGATCACAGTCATCAGATTGACGGAATTTCGTTGTCAGGCATAAACGAAACTGATAAAAACAAGAATAAAACAAAATTAACAACGACAGAGAAAAGCATTTATTCGTCTATTGATGACAGAATTTACATTCCAGGTGTTTTCTCTCACATATCGTGATTTTGCTGATAAAAACTAGCTTGATATCATAACATTACCTTGTCTGAATCTTTGTCATTATGATAAATATTATTTTGTTTACGGTAATTTATTATAGATGACCGTGCTGTTTTACTTCTGCTGACAAGATATTTAGATATCTTTGAACGGCATTATTTTTATGCCTATTCTACTGATTTACAGAAAAAAATACTGAATGTATATATCATTTCATGTTACCCGCCAATACACAAAGAATATAGTTTGTGATATGAAAAAACTTTTTGGCTGTAAGTATATCACAGTTGATTTGAAAGATATTCATATTGAGCAGAATTATAACCCTTAAAGATATTTTTAGGTATTCCTATATTTTGAAATAATTTGAATTTTGTTTTCGAGACTTAAAACCAGAATCTACTTTTACAACCTCACTGAGGGAGGGCTGGAAGAGAAAGGTCATAAACAGTTTCAAATACATTCTATCATTTCCTTGGAAAGAACGCTGTAAAAGAAAAATGGACAATGTTCGAATTCGAGTTCGTCTTGGTGATTCGAGTAAATCTCAAATTTCTTCGTCTTTTTGCAACAATGTTATCGTATATCTGTAAAGTAGTTGATTTGAATGCATAAAGTAAAAATAATAATGTCCATTCTAATAGAAACTCATTTTAGTTTTTAACATTTTTTAATACTAAAAAGAGTGATTTTTAAGCGTGAATCAAAAATCAGAATTCAGCTGTTCTGCTAATAAATATTTAGACGAAACAGGAACCCAGTCGCTTTACGCGATAATGCCCATGAGCTCTATAGTTGGCTAGCTTAATTTCAAAACAAACATATTTCATGTTGGGTAGGTTCAACAAGTCGCATATTAACGGTCACCGACCAATCGACAGAGTCTTTTAATTCGCGATGCAGTCGTCCAACATCGAATCATGCTTAATATGAACTTTCAAATATTTGTTTATGAAATACTTAAGTTTTTTAAGTTTGAAAAAATATGAAAATAACTCACAATTTTTTCCATTTTGTGGAAATGCTAGTAAGAATTCTTCTAATAAATTACAGGAAAGCATGAAACATTAAACAATTGGACGAACATGTTCCCAAACAGTAATGAAGATCCAGTTCGCATTTTGCTGCGCGGAATTCGTTCTTATGGAAAATCGACCACTCTGCACAAAATAGCTTATGAATGTGCAACAAGAAACTGTCCAAGGCTTCAAAACTATGACTTGATATTTTACATCGATTTAGCAAAAATACAACTTGAAAAACCGTATACAAGAATATCGGATTGCATTAAGGTTTTATGTTTGGATGATGAAGGTAGGATTGGCGCAATCTTTGAATAAAGCAGGAGGATAAATGTAAACTCTAATGTTAAAACCCTTACAAAATTTAATTGAAATCTGAAATTGTATTCCCTGAATTATGAATATATATATCAAATGCTAATGTTCTAACAGGAGCTTATCCTATTCTATGCTTAATGTGAAAGTTTCATTCCTTCAGACATATGTATCATATTTAAATATTTATACGAAAATATTTTGCGAAATATCAAGATTTGTTATAATAGCAAATTTTATGTTTAATTTTGTATAACCCAAAATTTTATTTTATTTTATATAGGTACACACTTGATAAATTAAAATGTAAACGATAATTTACCCCCAATTTTTTTAATAAGATGTTTTTATAATTTGAAGACAGTTTTTAATAATTTCAATATTATCACAGGGTCCGAACTGCACGTGGACGACATTGAAAACCTTTTCAATGCACGTAACGGGCGAGGCGTATTGTTTCTCATGGACAATGCCGACTGTTTAAAAATGTGTGACGAAACATCGGAAATAATTGACGTCATAAAAGGAAATCAATGGTCGGAATGTGGTATTGTTCTCACAGCGACAGATTATGCTTACAAGAGTGATGACACTTTTCCAGGATGCATCTCGGAGTCACGAGTGTCGTGGCAAATATTTCACGTCGTTGGTTTTACTAGCAATGACGTAGTTGAAGAATCTGGTAGATTGTTCAAAAGCAGAAAAACAAACACGGGAGCTATCTCTGCAGCTAGACATGTTACTAATTTAATAAGAATCAACCAACGAGATATTTATGATGGAGAAGGATCGAGTCCATTGTTGGTTTCCATTTTGTTAGAAGGTTGGATGTCTTTATCAGAATATTTGGGTGAGAGTTGTTTTTATTTTATTTTGAAAATATGCATAAAAACAATACTCAATAATTAATATCAAAAATACGTTATAGGTGAAAGGCAAACAATATGGATGCCAGAGACAACTTCAAAAATAATGGAGAATTTGTTTTCAAGGTAAAATATGTAAGAATGTTCAATAGGTGGGTGCAAATTAGGCATACGCATTTACCCACTTAGTAAAAGGTTGTAATACCGTTTCAAGTAAGGAATGATTTGTGAAAGTGTGTAAGGTACAATTTCATCGATTAACCACAATAACATTGAAATTCGTAAACACTTTTAGATACATATAATTATTAATAAAAGTATTCAAAAATTTTACTTTAAATCTATAATTGTTATATCAGAATACAAATTAAATCACTTTTGTGCTATTCGTTTGCAGATATTTCTCCTCTTATCGAACAGACCAACTGACTGAATTCGAAACCGAAGTTCGAGAGGAAACGTTATTAAACGAGACCTCCTATTTCACAGTACATTATCCCCAGGATCAACAAGTAAATTCGCTTCTGAGATCTGGAATTTTATTAGTGGCAGAAGAAAAGGAAAATAAATCAACAGTATTTTTTTCTCACAAAATACTCCAAGATTACTTTTCAGCAAGGTACGCACGATCATTCTTCCAGATTTTTTTTTGTTGCTGTGAATTTTTCGCTGTTGTGAAAATTAAATTAATAAGCAGAGATATTGGGCACGAAGGGAACATAGGGATTTTCTTTAAATTTTATTTTGCCTCCGGGGCCCGTTATGTCAGCCAAATTGTTGCTGTTTTTTTTTTCAGTTTGTTGGAACAATACATTGAACAATTTGTTTGACATTTGGCTTTAGTATTTATGTATTTGAGCATAAATATCAGGTGATCATATTCAAGATGCAATTTTTATTTTTATCACAATTGATTGAACAAAGTTCATGGGGGAGATTTTGTGTAAGGAAGAACAACAGATCATACCAGGAACTTTTGAAAATATCAAGTGTGATATCTAACGATAACGACACTTTCGATTTGGGGAATCGTATTGCATTCTCATAATTTACTATTTGTTCACTGTCTATTAAAATTTCAGGGTATTCTGTGATTCGCTTCCAATTTCTGAGATAACGAAATATGCGAATAAAATTTCGGATGTAATTCGATTACGCAATTTTCTGCTATTCTGTTGCGAAATACTACCCGAGGCTGCGGAAAGTATACTTGAAACTTTGTGTGAATTAGGTGAAAAATTACTTATTTGCATTCATACCTTTTCTTCATGCATAGAAAAATATAATCAGTGCTATGGATTGTACACAATTTCGAAGCTGAATATCAATCAATTATATTATCATATATAGGTAATGACAAAAGCTGGTTATAAAAATACATGTTGTCTGAATTTACAAAATAGCATCAAGGTAATCCAATTGATATATTTTTGAATTCGTTACGCTAATATTTGGATTTTATTTTCATTCAGCTGTTTCAACTAAAAAACGAATCGACCAGGACAATTTTATACTAAATCTGTGTATGCAATGCGTATATGTATCTTCAATTTCGTACCAGAGCAGTGGCTATCGGAGTTTAACTTCGTCATTCGAGAATCAAAATGATATAGAAAATAACAATGAAGTGGATACCTATTTCAAAGAAGATTACGAAAATTCAGATTTAATTACTGCTAGTTTAAAGATTCTGGACCCTCATAAACTGACATCAAGAACTAAGCAATCAATACTGAAGTTCACAAGTACATGTAGACCTCCTCTAACGCGATCCGGCACTGTATTTCCGCTTTTAACTGGTGTTACAAATATTCGAACAACATCGTTCATCAAGCGTTTGCACATTTCGGGCATCAAAACTAATCAAGTGATCTTCGTATCTGCGGTCCTTCGCAACTTGCCATTTTTATATGACATCACTTTGACGGGCATCGAAGCAATCACCGAAAACGATTTCAGGACTATTTGCTCTGGTCTGCAATCTATATCTCAAAACATGCTATCACCTCTCCATTCACTAACCTTTATTTTCAAATGTGCAACTCATTTTGATCGCATTCAGGTGCCAACATATGAAGCACTTCGGCCAGTTCTTGAAAACTTTCAATTTTTGGAATCGTTCAACATTGAGCCACTCTCATATCAACATTTTTTATCTTTTTATCCCAATACCAAATGTCTAATTCCAATCAAAAATATCAACTTGTGTGGATCAAACATAACGGAAAATCGATGCCATATCTTCTCTCAGCACCTTGCACGATCACCGTTCTTAGACAGCCTGAATCTTTCTCATAATCCTATTTATGGAGGATTGAAATATTTTCAGGAACCCTTCAACGAATTTCGATGCCTGCAGGTAAGTTCTACAAGTGTTACTATGCACTACCATTCATATTAAAATATAAATAGCAGCAATTTTGAATACTTTGTTCAGGAGCTTCAACTCGGACAATGCTGCCTCTCTCCAACTAGCCTCGCGGCTCTCACCGTCTGCGTGAAGTCATCTCGTCTGGAACGAACTCTGACCTCATTAAATCTACGAGCTAATCATATTGATCACCAGGTGTCTCTGTTGTCTTTTGCGGAATCATTAGGTCATCTGAAGGCGTTGCAGAAACTTGATTTGAGTCAAAATTTTCTTCGTAATCGAGTTGTGTGTGTATTTTCCTCACATTTACGTAACTTGCGTAGGTTGCGAGATCTACGGCTTGACTACGTCGAAATGGGAGAGGCTGGATTCTCCGCTTTACGATGTAATATCTCATATTTATTACAACTGGAAGTCCTGAGCGTTGGGGAAAATTTATTGGGCTGCGATGCGTTGAACTACATTGCTGATTTGCAAGGTATTAATTGCATTGTAAAAATATTGAAGTAAATAGTATGGCTTTTTTGTTGAAATTCACTTTTTTTAAACTTCAGGTACCAATGTCAGAGAAACTTTGATTGAACTCAACCTTTCCGGTGAGTAGAAATAATGTGAAAAAGCAGGGTGATAAAACATAGATTTTAAATGGTATTTAAAAATGGTATATTCATAAACACATTCAATATAATTCTCTATGCCATCTGCATAAAGGTATAAGTTGCGAAGTTTCATCAACGTTAACTGGAAAAGAAATAAGAAAAGTTGTTGAGTCATTGAAGCAATTTCAAAAGTTGAAAGTACTTGATCTGAGAAATACAGAAATCAAATATTCGGATGCCATAACAATTTTAAGAGCAGCTGAAGATCACAAGACCCTAAATGAAGTCAGGTAATCACAGACTTCCATATAAGAAATATTAAGCATTTTCAAAATACACCATGAAAGTGACGTAAATAAATAACTGTACATCTCCATCAACTACTTGGCAACATTTCTCAGTAATGTACGACAATGGGATGGTATCAAAATAGCTCAATTTTAAAGTAATATAAAAATTTATTCAGTTCTCTGTTTGACTATATATACCAGTTACTAAATAATCCAGTGCATATTCAAAATTACGAATTGTTATGGTAACACTAGTCAATATATTTCAAAGAATAGACCAGAAAAAGTAACCACTATTTTCTGCACAGAATTAAGTTTCTACAAAAAACGGGTTTATATAAATTGGATGAATGAGAACTATTACCATTTCTACTTTGCAATATATAAACAATATATTTCCGTTATTCGATTATTCTACAGATTGAGCGACAAACTCACACTTCTGAATGATGTTGAACGCAAAACATGGAGTTGTTTAAAAATTGTTTGAGAACGATTTCTTTCTTAATCCTTCATTTACAATCAAAATTGTTTTTATTATTCTTATTTTTTATTAATTTTTTGTATAACATGTCTTGCATTAATTAAATAGTTTTTCTAGGAAAGCATGCACTGATTGCATTAACTTTACCGCCATCTAAGACATATTTTGTCCCAGTGAAGTTCCTAAAATATTAATTGCACTTATGGTGCGATGAGATATGTTAAAACTGATTTTTTTTAGATTTATACACTAAACTGAAAAAACATTGGATGTATATATTAATAAAAAAAAAAGATTCGATATTGTATAATTGTACAATATTGTATATTATTGTTAAAATCAACAATGGCCGATGAGACATATTAGTGGCAGGCCAAGACAGACAGATCAGCACTGAAACTGTATCACTGGAAATTTGATTGTACTTACCTAAATTGAAGTAACCTCTGAATCAAGATGTCCCATTAACTGATATTAATTAGTATATTATATGCCTGATTTGAATCCGACGCGAAATAGCTCAAAAAATGTATAATATGTAATAGTTACATGATTAAAGAGCGAGATTGTGCTAGGAGATAGCCATATCAAAACAACTACATGTTGGAATTGACGTTGAATAAACAAAGCATTTGATATTTCTATCTATAGTCTCACAATCATATATTAGTGGTCGAATGTGAGAAAGATAAGTAAAAATGAAGTGAATTACTGAAAATATATTACACGTCTGTATCGTATGATATACACAAAACGAATAGTGCAGAAGTTTTCAAGAGCCGAATGGACACAAATATTCATTCAACAGAATTTGCCACAGAACATATCAAATTGTGTTCGCAATATGATGAGACCAATATGATAAATTGTTCATTTTTGTTTCCTGTTTAATTCAATAATTTCCGTTTATCGTGCTGTTTTAGTGAAGTACGTGTAGCTTTCTGCAGCGCTTTAATTTCCTTGTTGCCCTGTAGCAGGTGAAAGATAGATTAAGCAAATATTGTGAAAAAAGGAGGCCCAACAGTAGTCAAAGAGTATAAGTTACATAGCGTTCAGCTAAACACTGAGTTTGTAGTAAAGATGCGCAAACAAGCATTGCAGAAGTGTTTCAATATACCATATTATTCTTTTGTGGTTGTCGTAAACAAAGTGTACCTATAGATGTTAAATTATTGTTTTTGTTCTTATTAGCTGTAGAACGGTTGTTGTTAATGAGAATCCATTTTCTCCGTGAATAATGGGACAATCGATTTCAAACTTTCGTCACTGGGCGCTACTTTTATTTTATCAAATTTTTCTTGGGTCCTGAAAAATCAGTGATTTTGATTTATTATAGCTGTTATCGTCCATGCCATGTTTTTGGCGAATTGACCAACCGACGTCGTCCATAGAGCCAACTGATGGATGAGGTGTTTTTCACTTGAACTGGATTAGTAGAAGCACAGAGTGCTCCTGTTATTGAAAACAATTCGACGAACTTTTGAAGATGACCTAGCCATACACGTGATTACAACGGTGAAGTGTTGGACGATGCGCACTAGCACTGTCCGCCGATCTTTAAAACAAACTATGTGCTCGAGTAGGTTCCACATCATAGTTCAAGGTAATTTTCATAGCTAGTATCTGGCTCTTAGCATTATGCGCCCACATTTAAGAAGACATCATTATGAGTGAAAAGTCATATGATGAACAGATACGTATGAAACTAAAAATATTCAGTGGGTGTCCAGCTAAATTTAAACTTTGCTGTAATGACTTAGCTTATAACGCCTGCGCACATATTTTTATATTTGAGCAAATACCTAGCACCGCGTTGCCAACTCTTCAGAGCATTCATGGAGTATACATTTCGTCAAAGCAGCTAGTAATGTTTTGCTCTTTTTAACGTGTGCCAAAAAGCAATACCTACCGATAAAGGTTTTGCTAAGTCATCCTTTTATACTAACAGTCGTTCAGAGTCGCTTGCACGTTTTTTAAAGTAAAACGGGTCACCCCTGCTTGAACTTCTCGAAATTACTTGCAGTAACTAATGTTTCCAATGGTCTTGGAAAATATGAGTATTTATTACCAGACAGAGAATATTTAGGAGACTTCTTTAATCCAATAGTACGAAAAAGGGCTAGCCTACAATTTATCGTGAATTTTTCATTTTTTGTTGCAGAAATTTATTTCAAAAGAGATATCAATAAAGCGTAGATGCATGGATACAGAAAAAATCATTAAGAAAGCTCGTGTTTGGGTGGACGGATGCTTTGATATGGTTCATTTTGGTCATGCAAACGTATTTCGCCAGGCAAAGATGCTTGGAGACTACATCGTGGTTGGCGTCCACAGCGATGAGGAAATTACAAAGGCTAAAGGTCCACCTGTTTTCAACGAAAACGAGAGATACAAAATGGTTCGTTCTATCAAATGGGTTGATGAAGTAGTTGAGGATTCTCCCTACCTCCCCACGGCTGAATTACTCGACAGGTACAAGTGCGATTTTGCGATTCATGGAGAAGATATTAGCCTAACTCATGATGGTCATGATGCGTACCAGAACTTGAAAGATGGCGGTCGATATAAAGAAGTTTGTCGAACGCAAGGTATCTCTACGACAAACATTATAGAGCGTATGCTGAAAATTGGAAATCCGGACAAAGGTCGCCCCAATACAAAAGAGGGTAACAATAATTTCAGCAACTTACAGCAAACCACCAGTACCGACACCGCACCACATTTCTTGACAGTAAAAGAGATTGCCGAATTCACGACTTTCCGGGAAATAAAGACATCCGATAAGGTGGTATATGTAGCAGGGGCGTTCGATTGTTTTCATATAGGCCACTTATCGTTACTGGAAAAAGCTGCAACTATTGGCAGCTATATTATAGTAGGCCTCCACTCGGACTCAGACGTTTGTAGATACATGGGACATAAGTACCCCGTGATGAATTTGAACGAACGTATGCTGGGCGCTTCAGCGTGCCGGTACGTCGACGACGTTGTTGTTGGCGCGCCGTACGTTATTTCGAAAGAGCTTCTGTCATATTTGAAAATCGATGTCGTTCTCCACGACAACAATATACCCATTCCGACCAAGGAATTATCAATAGATCCTTATGAGGAGCCGAAACGACAGGGTATATTTCAGTTAGTGGATACTGAACAATCGCTTACTACGCCAGAATTGGTGGCGAGAGTAACTGAACAATGGGAAATGTATCGAGGTCGAAATTCAAAAAAGCAATTGAGAGAAATTAGAATTCATGGAAATGGAAAAAAAAATTCTGGACACATTACTGGCTAAAAGGCTCCTTAAACAAGTTTACACGCAATTGATACCTTCAAATAATGTATTCAATGTAAGAAAATTGTATTTACATCTGTTTCAATGTGCTATCTATTTGATAACGAAGTATTATTTAACTGGTTTTAAAAATATATTACTTACGTATTTATATCTGAACGACAATTTGGAATAAACCTATTATAGGATAGAATATCTCGATTGAACCTGTGTGAGAGAAAAGCCGATACGACGGCTTAACCCATACATGACGAATCACGGTCTCTTGTCCGGTTACAAGTCCATGTCAGGTATGGGAATAGTTAGTCAGTTATTTGTTTCAGATGCATGGATTTGATGATGGAGAAGTCGTCCCTGACCAGTGGTCATTCGAACACCCACCCCTACGGTGACAAGGAGTCCAGCAATCCTCCCACACATAATTATCCTCCATACGATTCGAACTTGCAAACCAGCGCAGGGAAATCATATGTGCGATGACAAGCGTAACGCTTAACACGGTATGCCAACCGACGAGCCTACTCATATTACCTACCTATTCATCGCTAGCCAACATCCATGATAGAGAGATGAGAGCCGAGTTTGCCAGCTACGAACATTCTGGTCTTGTCGCCGGGACAACAAAGGCTAAATTTAGATTTTGGAGATACAGCTTATGAGAGGTTATTATATCATTGTAGGTATTTTAGAAAGAATGATTAAACCAAATTGACATGCCTTGATGACCTCTAGTTACAGAAAATTACGCTGCTGACAGAACATATTCGAATTAAATTAAAATATAGCTATTGGATCAACCAAAACAAAATTTAACGACTTTTGCAGACGGTACATTGATGATTTAAGAAAAATGTTGTCTGCTGAAATGCGAACTCGACCGGACTTGAAGCTATATCTAAATCTGTCTTACGAAACAGTATTAGATCAAACTGACTTACACTCCTGTTACTTAACACAATTCCCTAATTCAATCATCACAGACTCGAGGTGTTGAACAAATAACCTTATACCGGATGCTTTATTAATATAATTTCAACACGCAAACTCAACGTTTCGGCTCAAAAAGAACAGAAAAAATCTATTTCGAAATGCAATTAAAAATGAGCAATTTTATGTTTGCACGAAATGGAACGAATTACATGCATTTTTGGTTATTGTTATGTATTATTTACAGATAATGGCTTTTTTTTTCAAAAATTACGATAAAAATTAACAAATTATTTTTTTCTAAAAAAAGAAAAATTGCGAAAAAATGCGAATGAATCTAATGGCAAAAATCAGAAATAACAAAATATTCATATATATGGTGGCTAATCACCATACGCACAAACTCCCCGCGGGGCTGCACTGCGATGCCATTTGACACCATGGAAATAGTTTTTAGGGTAGCTACATAACGCTTGTATTCGCCGGTATATAAAAAAACCGAAATATTTTTTTGATCGAATATTCTCAAATTTGGAACATTAATTGAAGTCAGCCAAGACTGGTCGTGTTGGCTTTGCCAGACGAAAGCAACTTTCGGTTTAGTCAGAAAGGTCTGTAGCTCACTAATTCAATTCAAAGAATAATTGAAAAATGTCATTTCATGAAACAATAATAACTAGATTTAAATTGGTATCATCACAGACTTTTTGAAATATTTGTATTTGTCTTGAGAACGAGTCACTAAACACACATGGCATGTTACATTAAGCATTTGATATATTTAAAATTCGTTGAACATCCAATTTAAATATAGTAATCGTCAAACAAGAAAAATAAATCAGAGTTGTAAACAAGTCAGTCCAGCTGGGTTCAAACCATAAAAAATATGGAACCAAAGCGCAGCGTATGTGGGGATATCGTCTATTAGAGTTGAAACTTTTGAATTAACAATGGTTATTTATATACAGGAACCTCGTCTTGCAACATGTATGAAATGAGCACTACTATAACATAAGCCAATCCACAAGATCTGTAAGGATAAAGTCCCATAAAAGTTTTTTTGTAAATTGAAAATGTCCACAAACATTAGACGTATGGGTAAAACCTAATTTAGAATATCAAATAAAACCTGAATTCCGTATTGGTCTATCTGAATTCCGTATAGGAGAGGATCCAATAATATTAATCTTTTCCTACCAATCAAATACCATCACATCGTCATAGAGATGAAATATTATGTACACTGTGTGGCTAGTATGATTACCAGTTGAAAAGATATGACATAAAATAAAAGATGAAATAGTAATACCACTATGGGCACCACTATGGCAGCCTCATCCTGGTATGACAACCAATTTTGTAGTAAATAGACTTTCCAAGTATGAATCAAAAAATTTCATATGTTGATAAAGCATTTGGGAACATACAAAAAGATATTGTACGTTTTATTTTTAATGTATATAAAGATATATGGCACGCTTCATATAGAGTAAAGAAATTGGTATAATAACATTTCTAACATAATATAAAAGGAGTGGGGACGAAAGCGATGAAAAATATTATTGTGATTAATAAAGCGCAGAAGAAAACCCACTAAAGTTTATAATGAGACAAATACAATTGGAAATTAAAACAAACAAAAAACCCGCGATAAAACGCACAAAAACGTATACGCTTGCAGTTCTGACACTGCCACACTATAAGCGACAGGCCAAGGAATGTGAATATAAATAGCCCCGGTCGAAACGGCAAAATGCTTTATTTCGCAATTATTCACAGACAAAGTTAACATAAAGTTGAAAATTCAATTATAATTAAAGTTATTATATAAACAAAATATTGTAAAGAGAATTGATGTGACCCGGTTATATTTTTCTTACTCGACCACTATGGAAATTTACTAAATCAATGCGTCACAACCCAGCCTATATATTATAAAATATATATAATGTAATACACCAATACCAGTTCACTCAAATCATGACGATTTTAGAAGTGCGACGATGGTGTATGCTGAAATTTATCAGTAACAAAAGTATGGCTACAACAATCGATCTCTTCTAACAGATTCCATAAATCCTTGAGCACTCGCTGGCTGGTCACATGCCCATATGACGTCATAATCATTGAAACGAACGCCTATCACAATTCAAAAGCAGACACTTCCATTTCGACATCTTGTTGGTAGTAACCAGGCGGCTTATATTCATCTTCTGGTCTCTTAACTACGTCATCAAGTTGGAGACCGACACCATCTTCCTGGCGCATGAGAGTGCTGATGAGTTCATCAACATATTCTTCTGAGTCACGTGTTACTCTCTCGGCAAGGCGGTCATCACTACTAGGTCCTGATGTCAGGATACTGTTGTTGATACTTATTAAAGCATTGTTTCTCTCACGAACCTACGAACGAAACAATAATAATCCCATTTTAAATGTTTATATTAGGAAAAATTAGATAGAGCGAGCACTGAATGGAAATTCAGAAGAGTCGTCTCTGATACTTCGAGAATAGGGTTTCTCAAGCACGGTCGTCGGCCCTCTTAGGGGCACGAGCAGATTATCTGAGGCTCGCGACCAAAGAAATTCACCAGGCAACATTCGTAATGACTACTAAGTTAAAGTAAATTGACCGTGATTTTTTTACTATCTGTGGCAATTGTCTCATTCAAATTGTGAAAACCCTAAACTATACAAGCACATTGTGGAGAGCCGTGAAATTTTATTTTTATTAATAAATGCTAAAAATAGCTATCACGGCCAAATGAAATTGCACCGATAGGCACATCTAAAAAAAAAATTCCATGCATTGTTCAAAGTATTACCTTATTCAGTATAAAGTGAGCGGCGCTTGGAATAATAACAAGCGAGATGAGATTCCTTTCCAAGGGATTTTTCATCGACCAAGTTTGTCCAAATGATATCTTGATTTCGTACTACAAAAAGAAAGACAACAATTATTCCATTTATAAATCGTTTGTGGTTAAGTATGCGCCATGAATGAGTCGCACTCCACCGACGGTATCCATCAAAGGGCATGCTCGGCTACTATATTATTAAAAAAAAGTATATTCATTTTATGTTTGGCCGATACCGATTACTGTTCAGGGGAAGAACAGTTTATTCGAAAACGAAAATTTGTGATCATATATGAACGAATACTACCGCAATGTCAACAAAAATTCAGTCAACGGTTGGTTAATGAATTTTACCGCATGTGACATGAAGGAAAGAGTGTACGTGACTTATAAAAAAATAAAACAGCAGAAATGGGGATCAAATATCTGGAAACGCATAGTTAGGAAAATTAAAAATAAAAATAATAATAAAACAGTAGCTTTATAAGGACTTCTTCCAACTTTAAATACGACGTTGGAAATCTCTTGGTTCACTAGTTGCATGATAGGCAATTTTTTGACAACCACAACAAGAATATAGCAAAATACACTCCGTGCCAAATTATAGGCCGGTGATAAAAAACTCCATCTTTGATTACTAGAAATTTTGAAAAAAAATTGATAGAATAGCCCAAGACGAAGACAATATTTCTCCCAACAACAAACAAGTAAACATTGGAGGCAAGAGAGCGATGCTCAAATATATGGATACGAAGACCAGAACGAACTAGTATTAAATCTTTTACAGTACCGGTAGTCTTCCTTATGCAGAAACTACCAACTTTGCGGACCCCCAAATCGCTGAAATGCAATCGTGGAACCGCCACGCGGTGCGCAATTTCTAATTTTGATAGCTTTCTAGCGACAACAATATTTAACCACAGAGAATTAAAATCTCAAAGCAATTGGTCCGGCAGGTAAAAATAAAAGCGTTTTTTTTCACAACAATAATAACAAGAGGAATACCAACAAAACAACAACAATTTAACAAAACGATCCATGCGTCCATTTCGTGTCTAATGACAAGAATAAATTATCAAAATGATGCATAGATTTACACTCCCTGATCAATAAATGTTAATATTCTTACCGATGGAGATTTGTTTGCTCCGTCATACTTGCACTGATCAGCTGCAAATCTTCTCATGTGATAAAAGAAATTTTTGTAATCAAACACTTTTGTTGGATTATTACGTTCTAATTTCTCTGGTTCGTTACTTTTCGATTCTGGACATAGATAGAAAACCTGTAAATTTGAATATGCAAATGTCATTAATTCTTGACAGGAGTAAGAAACGTAAAAAAACGTAAAAACTGCTAACTGTTCTATTACGTGACGCCAAATGACGTGACGTTAATAGCATAATGAGTTTTGCATTTCTTTTCCTAATTTGCGTTTTATTTTTAATGGAAATGGAAGGTAATCAACATAAATCAGAATTCCGGATGTTATGCTCTGTTTCGACTTAACTTATGGTATTTTAAACGATATGACCTCTAAAACGTATTTTGAACGTATATTTCCATTAAAGTATGTATGTTTCAATTAAGATTTTCAGCAACAAAAGCAAAAAGCATAGAATGAAAATAAAAAAGAGTGATCGAGACTTAAGGAGTAAACGGATCATAAAAAATATAAGGACAAACTGCGTCATAAAATAAATGTAGAAAATGAAGTTCTATTATGAAAACTATCAGATTTGTGTCATTTGAAAAGTGAAACATTGAGCATCACTTCCTCATGATTAGAAATGAAGCAAGAGTGCAATGTTTACATGAACATTTACGTGAACACGAAGATCGCACAGGGGTACCGGTGACTGAGCACGGAGACTACTAAAATCATCGGCGGACAAGTGTGGAATATTAAAATGTTCCCATACGTCACAAATTGGTGATGCTAACAACTGAAAAAAAAATCAGCATAATTTCGGACGAAATATTAGCGAAACACATACCCTGCTTTGACATAGACGTTTAGCAACTATGGTTCCATCTCTCTGAAAGCTCAATATCAATCCACGTTGTACGTTCTTCAGCAAATGTTTTGTCAAATTCACCTGTTTTTCAAATGTAGCCCATGGCTCCACCTCACATAGTTCAATCTGATAAAATAAAAACATAGATTTGAAATTACTAGTGACTGGTAAAAAAGTTAAAATTGATTTAGGCGTTCTTATCTGTACGGTGTTTCACTATAGTCGCATGGCCTTACTGCCATTGTCCTACTGCTCCTATTTATACATTTACCAAGTACACAAAATCAAATGATTACAACTAACGACTACATCTCACAAGCAGTAATTAGCCTACTAGACTTGCGTTCCGTTTTCAGTGAATCATTAATTATGCTATTCTGAAAGACCCGAAAAATTGCATCACTTTAAGTTATAAATCTGTGCATTCAGTCATACCATATACACCAGAATCAGGTCCGTAAGTCAACCTAAATTTCTCCATTTCAACATTGATAAAAAGGGAGGTATAACTTTATGAATTATTTTTATTCTAGAACCCGATCTCAAGAGTGGAATGAGTAAACTAGCTTAAGCTTTAACTCATTGTAAAGCAGGACTCTACATGGCTGCCTTCTCGATTTGGGTTTAAATATAAGCACAGGTACTTCTGCACAAACAACTTGTGCGTGGCTGCCTAGAATAACAGATACCTTCAGATTCTTTGGAGTGGGGGGGTGTAAACTTAACAATTATCTAACTCCTCCCGACTATGATTTCCATTAACATAATATGTAAAAAACACAAGAGAGAAATGAACGCGGAACTGCCACAAGACGAGCAATTTTCAATTTGGATGACGTCATCGCACACACACTAAAAAAAACGAATTTTGTAAAGCCCAAGGAAATTTTTAAAATAAATAGCCTGGTAGCAAAAAATACAGTCTTTACCACTGAAAATTTCAAAGCAATTGGTACTGTAGTTAATAAGAAAGAGCGATTTTTTCACAACATGAAGAAGAAAAATACAAAAAATGAACAACAAAATGAACAACAACAACAGCATAATAACAAAATGATCCAAAGGTTCACGTCGTGTCCAATAGCATGGAAAGTATTATATTAACCTGCTGTAAATCCTGCGGTCCAAATACGTGACTTGGCAACTCGTGTGCCACGGTGGCAATATGTTGCAATCCTGAGCTTCCATAATGAATTCGACATCCACGGTGGTTTGAAACATGCTGAGTCATAACCGTTACGCCGCGGTATCTGACGTCAACGTCAAACTCGTACGCCGCTGAAAAGTAAGAATATTATAAAATTAATTACTGTCTGTTCTAAATCCGTCTTCAAAAAAATTAAAATAAAAAAAAGATTAAAAATGATTTATATAAAACAGAACGTAAAAAGCATTTTTAATTATATCTACGAAATTAAAGAAGATTTAATTTTTGGTTCTATTGTTCTCTCTGGAATATGTTTCACATGACCTAGATTCTATTTTTTAATCACCCTGTACAATGTTAATTTTACACTATTGTTGTATAGACTGTTATGGGCTGAAGCGTTATAAAACAACCAGTAAATAGCAGGTAACAATCACGGACCTTGGGGATTTGAAGGTTAAAAAATGTTTGATCTAGTCCTTGTTTGCTATGCCTGGATTTCTCCATGTAGGATAAAATGTTACCAAATTGAAACATATGTGGGCGTTCTGGTTCCATTACATTTGAACACACGTACATTTGAACCCATGACAATTGCACCTGCATACTATAGCACTTATGGAATTTTTTTTTGTTTTACGGATATTTGAACCCATACTAACCCTGACCCATGGGTTTTAGCACCCGCATATAGATTGAACCCGCGGATATACAGTCATACACATGGGTTCAAATGTACGTGGATTCAAATGTAGGGTCACCGGGCGTTCTATATATGTTTAGTTGATAATCAAGTTTACTTTTGGTTGCTGGTTATGTATCATGTCAAGAAAACATTCACCAGCAACATAATTTGAGTACCCGCAACCCCATTTCTTAGTGTTTTGTATCGTAAGTGACACTATTTAAATATATGGCAACTTTCGGTGAAATGCATTACGATAACAGTTCACCAACTTATGGTATCTATCAGTCTCCGGTGAGCGATACTTTTTCACAAGTTAATGATTTACCTGGGGTTGCATCGGGCGTAGAAATCATCTGAGAAGGAGGCTGAAAGCTGATTGGTTCCTGAGGGGGCGTCGGTTCAATTCTTTGTCCAGATTCACTCCCGACTGGAGAAGACACTGGGTTTATAAGAGCTGGACTTGTATCTATTGGCAATCCTCTGTTTCCATGTTGTTGTTGTCTTTGATCGCTTGAAGTGCGGTGCACCTAGTGAAAAAAAATATAATTTTATTAGTGTATTACCACAAAATGACAATGGATTTAGATGGTAGTAACTTTAATGCGATTGAAAGTCGGTCGAAAAACACACTCTTTAAAGCGAAATTGCCTTTGTAACCACGAAAAGATTTGCTGTAACATTATAAAAGTAACATTTTTCTGTAAATACATGTAAATTTGTGTTTGGCCGCGTGAATTTCGTAAATCCGAGTACAAAAAAAAAACGTTTGATATAAGGGCAGAAATAAAATACGAAAAAGATGCAACAGCATATTTCTTGTTCACGCAGCAGCCATTGTTCAAATATCTATGTCTTATTTTGCATAATAAAAATATTATTTTTTGACCCATACATTGTAAAAGGTTAGCCACCCCTGTTCAAATGTTTCCGGGTATGTAAATGCAAACGAAAATCTTGCCTATCAGTGAAGGTAACCGAAACCACAAATGTTTAAACAATAGTATGTACAAGCCATGCTCAGAGACTAGTAGATATTTATTCACGACGTAACCTAACTTCTGTGATACACTTGTTGTTTCGAGTACAATCTGTAGTAATTAATGTGTACTAAATGAGTATTATGTCCTTCGATTACTTCGTTGTGTCTATGTCCATGCATATTATGCTGTTCAGGTGGAGGTTGGTCATGTGGATTGGAGAGTCGTGGTCTTATGCTGTGATCCTGGAACTCATATTCTTGATCGTCTTCGGGTGGAGGAATAACCGTCATCTGCAACAAACAAATAAAAATTACTCGGATGAAAAATAAGGTCGAAAATGGATTTTTGAGTCGTCAATGAAAAAAAAAGATACCAGATATGTAAAGTATGGTTTCATTGTGGTTAGGAAAAGCATAGTCACGTATCGTTTATTTTGGCCATTTGCTGAAATTTGAGAATAAAATCACAAATATACTTACGGGATTCCCTAGTTTTCATTGCATTTTCGGTACATTTTCATAAAAAGTGGTATTTTTACATATGCAAATAAGCGGATAAATTTGATACGCATATCAAATTACGCTGACAACACTAAGGTAAACTAAGCTAAGATTATGTAAATGAAATTTACAAATGTATTCAAAATGTTACATTGGGTGATGCAATTAACATAGAAACACCACTCATTATGTGTTATGACAGTAAGCACATCCAGTTTCATGTTACACCAAATACCGAAAACTGCAATCTGACGAAAATTTGATTTATTTGGAGTTAGACAAAATAGGGTTGCGAGTGAATGCATTACAGTCCATGGGTGGGCAGATTACGGCCCGTGGGCCGGATCCGGCCCGTTGAAGTGTTTCATCCGGCCCACTTGTCTCTGCTGAAATAACGACTATAGTTTTTATGGATATAAATTTACTTAACGAGATAATGACCACGATAGTTACATCGCGCTTCTTATTATTATGTAAACGTTAGCCCGGTTGTTACTCATAGTTTTTCTTAACTGGTCTTTACGAACATACCGCTTTTATTATGTGATTGAATGATGGATTCAAGAGTAACCTGAATGGCAACCAGACAAAAATAAAATTTATCATAAAGAATATAGATTATATCGGTAAAATATTCTATTTAAATCAGGTTGGAACCGATGTAGCCTATATATGAATCGGACTGTCTGTCTGCATATGAGACCAAAATAATCAATCAACTGTCATATTTCCCACAGACAACACTGTCAATCGAAATTATCCTATTAATTGTAGGTGGAACAACGTTTATTATTCTGCAGTTACAACATGAATGATATACCTTAGATCTTTCGTATGTTCCTGGAAAATGAGAATTGTCCTTCACTCTCATTCGGCCTGTTAAAATAAAAATAAAATTATTTAAAAAAAGAGTAAAAAAGAGTAAAAAAATGAGCCATACACTACCATGGAATTATAAAATTACCCTTTTTTATTTTACAGCGATTCAAATTTAGGCATTTTTAATATACAATGCTGTAATTCATACATAAATTATCATAAACTAACGAAACGAAAAATATTCAGATATTTGAAAAAAAATTTATGAATTTGTCATTTATGACATTTAGTATATATATATATCAAATGACTATAGAAACTGTACTGATATGAATATTAAAACATTTAAATAGTCTCAGCGATAAGCCAAAAACCAAATAAAAGTGCAACATTTGCTAATAAAAACTTTGAAATATACTATAAAGGGTGTTCAAAAAATTTCGCCCAATTTCAGAGTAAATGAATTGTAAGTTTAAATGAATTTTACTCTATGATAAACGAGAACTACAAACACAATAAGAACTATTATTAAAAAAGACAAATAATTTTTAGTAGTTATTAAAATAAAATCGGTTGAAATTTTTTGGACACCCTGTAGAATAGATATCTTCAAAAAGTATAGAAATTTGGTTGTGAAGTAACAATATTTTGTATTGGGATCGTTATTACTAGAAAATAGCACTAAATTCTCATTTTATTTTACCAACTAGCCCATTTAAGGTATCATTTTGTTGTCGTCGCATATAACTTCGCTGAAACAATACATTTTAGGCTTGTTTATACGTTGGAATTGTGACGCATATTGCGAAAACTTGCACTTCACGTTTTTGGATAATATTTATTACGTTATTTTGGTCATTTTCGATTCGGTACAAAGTGTTTTTCTGGGATTTTCGATTCCGTTGTAAACTAATAGCATAGTCATGACACTGATTCACTTTTATTTGAATTTCACTGATAATTATCACAGCCTCCGGCGTAAGAACTAGACAACGCGATTGTTTAGTTTTTAATTAGTATGTATTTAATTAAAAAGGTGTTTCTCTACAAGCTTTATTGCCTAAAACATTTTAGGGTGTCTATACATCTTTTCTGCAAACATGTTAGTTCAGACCTCATTTTCATAATCGAAACAAAAAAATATATTTTGGGAATATGCGTATAACAGAACAGATTTATGTAAATATCATTGAAATTGTATAATAAAGCCTTATACTATAGATATCCAGCGAATATTTCATGATCGGGAATTCATATACCACAAATTTCTCATTTATTTTACGGAATTTCATACATCGTTGAGAACGGAAAATTACAATTTTGTCCAGAGGGAATTGAATTCTAAAATCTTATTTTGTATTACCTTCATTAAGTTAGGGCCAAATAAGATACATAACTGACGACTGATAAACGTTTGTATACCACTTCCCAAATAGCTTACGAAAATTAAATCGAAAAACGTGGATAATAATATGGCGTGATGCCTATAATTATTGATATAATATACACGATACTGCGAACGGCGACGGAATTTTTTACACTTGATTCGTGTAAAAAAACTTCATTATGTTTTTGATAATAAATTCGATGATTCAACGCCTGTTTAAGTTTAGGTGAACAAAAATATATACACAGGTCACAAGTAGAACAGTACAAAAATACCTGATTTTAAATTTTATTTAATAAAAAAATATTGCGAATAGGAAAATATCATATCTATATGCCTAAAGAACTTTGGAAAAATTTATTTTTTGTAAATAAAAAACGGGAATGATGTTATGCGTTGTGCTTGAATTAAACAAAATTGTTGACAAGGGTTTTCAGGATCTGTAAAAGCTGTTAATTTGATAAATGTTGTAAACTGCTTGACTGGGGAAGTCTAATTTTGGTCAGACGAAACATTGCAAAATACATTTGTGTTAGTGTGTAGCAGGACTTTTAAATTGTATAATTGTTTAAAAGTTAGCAATGATAATCAGCGAAAATATTCACTATTTTACTATAAAACGTATTCATTTAGGATAACCAAACTAAAATTGACTCCAGTACCAATTTCTATAATCCAGATTCTAGAATATTACACTATTCAGATATCGAGATCCAGACAATCACTTTGAAGTATGGACGATTCGGTGATGTAAACAAAATGACTCGTGGGCATTGAAAAAGTGATATATCAAAATATCAATCCAATCAGTTAAAATTAACTTTAAGTTAGAGATATAACTGAAGAGCGCGATGTTCAAATATATGGACACGGATGCCGAATCGAAGTAGTACTTGAGTACGAGTATGCAATCTGTCACCGTATACTCCCGATACGGCAATCTTCACGACCAACGAGAACGCGGAAACGCCACAAATTGCGACATTTTTGATGACGTCATAGCACACAAAAAACGAATCTCATAGGGCCCACAGAAATTTTCAAAATGGATGATCTAGCGAAAAATACAATCTTTAACCACTGCAAAGTAACCACTAGAAGTAATTGGTCCAGTAGTTAATGAGAAAAGCGATTTTTTCATAACAATAAGAAGGAAAATAACAATCAAAATTACAAGAACAGCATAATAACAAAACGATCCATATGTAGACTTCGTTCCCAAAATGACTGATGTATGACTGATCGGAAATTTAGCTGTTTTTACAATCATGTGCCGCATTCACATATATGCATATTGTCATATCCTAATAATATTGAAGTAAAAATTTCTTTCCAGCGCCGTGACATGTATCACAGAAAAGAAATTTGTCGAGAGTTCGAAAAGTATGGAGTATATCTATCTACTACAGAGAATAGAAAAACAGAAAGTTAAAATCATTCTCGAACAAATAATAATATATTTTACTGGGTGAATCGAAATCACAATAATTTAGTCTTGTCTGTTCGAAGCCTTGCAAAAATCGTTCTTCGCAGTACTACAAAATCATGTTATATGCTATTTATTTTTAATTACAAATTATGAAATGATCGACTTGTTAAACATTAATTAGGCCGATCGTCTGATAATGACTTAACGAACTGTGTCGTGATATAATAACGTCATCACATCAAGTCCAGGTATTTGATTATTATAACATTTGGTCGAAAATCTATTAATTGCGTAATTAAATATATTGATTAAATTCATTTCATATAATTTTCATACATAAGTACGTATTACGTCAACCAATAAGATTATGATTGACAGCATTGCTATCGCGGTTACCAAGTTTTCTTGACTTGAAAAATTCACTGTTCCGGTGTTCATTCGGCCGGGAAAAAATTCTGCTAATATAAAATCCCTAAAGCAAATTTTAAAAACTCAAGTCTAACAATGTGAATTTGTGATGATTGATTATTCATGACCATGTCATCTGTTTTCTTGTTACATTCGAAATACTTGGCTGACTCAAAAAATTGCTTAATTACTTTAAAAAAAAAAGACGAAAAGTACTTGAATTTCTGTTAGTGTATGATTGTATACAAAAGTTTCACTAATTGGGGACGATGTGCACATACGTTACGTTCCTTCCCTCTATAGAATATGTTCCAAATAACATGGGTTCTGTTTTTTGAAGAGCGAGGAGGATAACCATGTGTCATTGCCAGAAGATGTCAGACGAAACGTTGCAGAAATGCATTCGTGTTAGTCAGCACTAAGACATAGAGAAGCATATGTATAGTCTCGCATTATCCAAACTTGTAGGAATTATTAACCTTTGGATTATTAACCCTCTACTTACTAAATTCAGAGCTTGGAGCAATGGTATCATCTCTTCTCTGATAATTTGCAACTGACATAATTCCTGGGTGTTGCACCATAATCGGATTGTGGTGTGACGTCATCGTTTCCATGGCAGGATCACCGTGACGTTGATATTGTTCTGGATAAGCCGGTCTTGGTGGACCATATACACTTTCTTCTGAAAATAAATGGCATAACATTTTATTGATACTACATAGTTCACAAAAATCAATTTTACAATTTTAAGCGAAAATAGTAAGTATGCGAGTTCACCATGAAATTCTTTACAGTTGCAATTGGGGTTTGCAATGAATATATGGCCCAAATTTGACTCGCCTCCTACCTACGATCAGGTATAATATTGGGCTCCCATTACTTCTGTTTCGAGATAACAAATATGAACAATATGACACAGCTGGTAGGCAAGTTTGGGTGAGTAAAATATGTTCAGTCAGCAAAACAATGCATTTGTTAAACATTTGTTATATATAAACATTGTCCCGAGATGCGTCTTATCAGTAGCACAAACATGAATGTATACATCTTGGCAAACATTTTCTATATCTGTTTAATATCCAAAAGCAAGTTGTATGGTTATGAACAAACACAAGAAAGTAAATTTGAATTTTTTGGCGGTAGACGTTATTGTGCGCATATACCGATTTGATTTATCATTTAACTAGTACAATATTATTCCTATGTCAGGTTTAAATTTTGAACCGAAATAAAAATTTTTGTTCAAAACGTCACTCAACGTCATCCGTTTTGTATACTAGGTACAGACACTGTCAAAGATGACAAATGTTATTTAATTGATTGGGTAATTTTAGATTTCGATATTATACTACAGCAGGAGGCAGCCCTTCAAATAAATAATTTTTCAGTGTCATTCGGGTTCGGCTTTGTATTTTTGTTTCGAGTTTGCTTTTCAGAAGTCAACTTGATTAAATACACTGATATTGATTGCATGCATGTATTTTAATAAACCCTGCCAATATTTGTGGGTACTGTTTCTAAATTTTTTCAAATTCAAAACCAAAAGTGCATCTTCTTGATACTATTCCTAATAGCATACCATAGTTTGTTTTTTAATCATTAAGTCCACAAAATTCGAATTCTATTACACAGAGTCGAATGGTATTCACACATTTGTTTCGATAACCTTATATAAGCACATCAAAACTTGTTTTGCAATTTTAAAATAAAAAATAGTTACACTCAATTTAGCTTTGCTCTTATAATATGATTTCGTTCATAACCTTTCATACTAATAACGTGACAGAAAATACATTAAAAATACGAAACCGGTAAATTGCATCATCAGCTATCTAAGTAAATTTCAAGGAATTGATATAGTAATAAAACATCGAAAAATGTACTGAATTTTTGAGTTTTGCATAAAATTTTAATATAATAAACAACCCGTATTTTCCAGGTCATATATCTGATATACGATTAATTTAATTAAAGCGCTAAATTGAAACATTCTAGTAATCTGAAATTTTCGTAATTTGAAATGGGAATCTTCTCGTCTGACTCTTTATGACAAAGAATTCCGAACCCTCGCAATTGCATTCGTTTTAGAGTGATGTATCTTGCAGGGAAAATCATTTGGCCGTTTGTTTTCTATTCACCTCAACAACAAAATTCTTTGTACCTCTAAAGATCGAGGTTTAAGGTAAATGGGCCCAGGAGAAGTTGGCGAATCGATCACTGACCGGTTGTTTGATTTCTTATAGATAGTGTCACGTACTACAGTAAGATTATTGATGTTGTCTTGTTAGCGAGTTCAAATCTAGCAAATTAAAAAATCGTGATGAATAAATTATTTGAATTTTAAGTAGAACGCGTGGTATGTAAACAAAACACGTTGTCATTATCAGGTTTCGATGGAGTTTATAATATTCAAATTTCAACATTATGTAACTTCATCATATTTCCGGATCCTATGTTACCTAGAATTCACTTGAACAAGCATCTTATCCAAGCTGCAATATTTTCTTATACAACCAATAAAGGAAAAAATCTCAAATGCGACAGTCACACCCTAGGTGTATAGGTGTTGGCATGGTGAACCCACATGCGCCGGAAATTAAAATAAAGATATCAGACAAAAGATTTCAACACGATAAAAACTGGACTATATTTTTCATTAGGAAATTGACTGTTTAATAATGTTTCGGGTCAAGTTTGAATTGAGTGCGAAACATTTTTTGATTTATTACCCATTTTAAGTCATTCACTCGAAAAAAAAACAGGTAGTGTCGCAGACCACCAAAAGGGTCATAGATTTGGCTTGATCTTTTAGTTTAAATGGTTCATTTATTAGATTTACAACGAAGGTGTATGGAGTATAAAAATAAGCCAACAAATATCCACCGAAGATGGTGAAATTCAGATTTTGGGCAAAAAAACAAGAATAGAGGGCGTATATTTTATTTGTCAAAAAGGACCAAAATAATAAAAACGTTTTAGTAAAAAATCCTATAGTTAAAAAGAAAATTAATGAATTCTAGTAAAAACCTTTCTATTTAAAAAAAGTTCACGTGCCTTATTACATCGGCTGCTGTGAAATTGAAGTAAGTTGCGAAATTTTAACGAGCGAATGCGGTTCATTGTACGATTTTCGATAGCGACTGAAATTACATGTCGACCGTCCAAAAATTCGCCACAGCCACTGTAAATTTTCCTCGAGGATACGTTTATTTCTGTGATAAGTGCGCGTGAACCTCATTAAGTTGATTTATTTCGGAATTGAACATATTTCTGTCTTATTTTACTGGTTTGTGTACACCATCAACAGTGCCTATTACCAACTTTCACAAAGACTTTTTGTGTTCTGACATTGACACGACATTGCCGGCGGCGATTTTTTGTGGTCGATAGCTTGTTTTCACTATCGCTCAAATACCGATCAAAACTCCACTAAAATAATAATTCACCGAAGTTACTATAATTTTAAGGAAACGGTTCAGATACAATCTTAAATACGGCGGTTGGTGTTTTTTCGACTGAAAACCCTCTAACTGAAGGTGATTGAAAATACCCCAAAAAATTATTAGTAACAGTAAATCTCTAAAAAATTGAGACAATTTATTTATCTGTTTGAGATTAGAGATGAGTACGGCAAATTTTAATACAAATAAGTTGCCACACCCATTTGTAGAGAAATAAAATATAATAAAATGCGTATTCTTTAAATTTTTCGAATAATTAACAATTGCATGTCAATTTAGTATGTAATTTCAAATGACTTATACAAGAATAGTTAGCAGAATTGTTTTTGGTCCCATGGCTCAGTGCAAAATTGTTAATAATCGTAATATTTGTTTTTAAGAAATCGTGAGAATAATTCCCATAAAAAAAATCTTCGCGATCCCGATTCATTACAACTAAATTTTGGTCCAAAAATTCTATTTTGACAACAAATTCTGCCCTTAAAGAATTTTAACCGAAATTACATTATTACTATTATATCTCACAAACCAGAGTTTGGCTATATAGTGTGCCATAATGAATATGCATAAACTGGCGTAGATTACCAAATTCTTGGTTCACATTTCTTAAAACTTGTTTATTTTTATATTTTAACTATAATACTTCAAAATATGTCAGGTGTGTTACTTGGGACACAAAAAAGGATTTAAAATCATAATCGGCGGTTTCGGAAGACAAAGACTTGTCAATGATTAATTTAAATGTTAAGTTTTGTACAGATTATATACAAATCATATTATGAATATGTAGGTTGAAACTTTTCATTTGTTTACCATAATCAGATAATTGTTAGACCCGAGGCATAACCGTGAATCCTAATACGGATTAAACTTTGCGTCGACTTTTTTTCATCAAACTAAATTTAGGCCTAAAGAATCCAATAATACCAGCAAGAAACAAGAAAATTTCCACAATGACAGAATCAATCAAATAACATTTTCGTTCAGTTTTATTAACGTAATTTCATTAGATGTTGATAATAAATAAAGCACAGCCGGTATTAGCAAAACAATGTAATTTGCCGACGTTTCGAATTTCTATACAGAAAAACTTCATCAGGGCATGATATGGAAAGGACACAAGTGGATATATATAGAGCAAGAAAAAGAAAAATTTCATTAGATACACATTCGCTCAAAAGAAGGCCATAGGCAGCAAGCATTCGCCGTTACGCAATCGGGAACTATATTTTTAGGAAGAACGCAATCTTTTGTCATTTACGATTGTTGTAATGGGTGCTGTAGTCGCCTAAAACTAGCTTTATAGTGGAAAATAATATAGGAAAATCAATCCGTATGATTAAACTGCGAAAATCTAATAATTAAAGCACTGGGCGCCGACCTCATTATTTTGTGAACTTATACGTTCATGACGGTGTCTATAAATAGCTATTTTCCCAAAAATTGCGACTAAATTTTCCCGAAAAAGACGACATTTTGACGCCATAATAAATCTTATAATATCATTTCAGTTATATAATCCCATTATATCGCGCTCAAAATAAATGTGGAAAAGCCTAAAGGAATTCGATCCAACATTCGTAAAAAACTAAAGACTTAAAATTAAAAAAAGACTATTTTCGGTAACGGCAATTTCATTCGTCCTTTCGTACAATGAATGAGATCAAATAATGGCCTTTGGGCATTTCAACATATTCAAAAAAAGTGTTCCCAACAGTTTTAACGATACTTGGAAAATATCTTACTGAATGATTCATTCGCAAAACCATAGTTTCCCCCTACACGACAATTTTGATGAAGGTATTCTCATAACAAAAACTAAATATCAAATAAAAGGGTTGGTTATTTTAAAAGCACGACGTTCAAAATAATAGGAACTTTCAGTATTTACCACTATATCTCAGTTGCCTCTCTTGGAGTCCAATAGGAGAATATGTTTCTCTGCCCCAGGTACTACGTGGATATATTTCAAAATCTTGACCTGGAAATATGAAAGAAATGCAAAAATCCCATAATTATCCTAAAAATGTACTTATAAATCAGCGATTTTAAAATATGGTACAATTTCTCACCTAAAATCCATAAAAAATGCCAACCGACGCACTATTTTGTAACGATGGCGGTTATCTCATCGTTTTTGCCAATTTTCTTCGCCTTATTGAACAACAAGACTACATACAGTACAGCTTGGACCACATCCCTTACCGAAACAACCAAGTTATGATAAAATATTTTAGGCTACGCAGATGACAGAGGCGATAATAAATTATGCTTATGTGACTGTATTTATCTGACTTCATGAAGGCTGAATCATACCAACTGGTTTCGATGTAGTTGTAATTTTGCTTTCTGGAAAGTGCTGTTTTAGTTCTACTTATGACAAACACACTGTTGTGTGGCTATAACCTCAGTTAACAATAGGTTTCTTGCGTAAAATGCCCAACACACTATATATATAATCAAAGACACGTCAATGACAATATATTGCTTGAATTCGAGATGAAAACCGAAACCAGGTGAAGTAGTTCAATTAGTAGCAACAATGTACAGTGGTGTTCATTTTAGAAACTTGTAAGGAACAAAGCCTACACCCGACTTTCAAATCAGCAGGCTTGTGCAACATTGCATTCTTTCAGCTGTATTAATTTTCGGCCGAGCCAGTGAACGCTGTATGGCTCTGACATTGCGTGAATCGAAGCTACACAAACCGATCGCAAATCGGTCAGATTATATAATGAAGAACGTAAAGCGCTGTTAAAATTTGTGAACACCTATAGGGTACATTTGTTTAGCAGAAAGTGCTACTTCTGTGCTACTTTTCACAGTTTTGCCACCCATAATGATTCAGTGGAAACTATACAAGGGAATCAAAACACTTAGAATGTAAAAGTTGATGATATGCGAAGGCCTGGTAAACCGGAATGCTTTTTTTTGATCTGAATTCAAAAACACAAGCCCGAAGTTTATTCAAATCCGAAACATATACCAAAGTATGAGAAAAATGATGTTGAAAACCCAGGAATAACAATTTCAGTCGTAACACATGTCGCTCTGTTTTACTTTCTTTCAACGACTACATAGTGTGAGACATCAAACTAAAATCGACACAATAAAGTGTCTAAAATATGTAGATTCGCAAAAGCACAGAAACTTTTGTACATACTTCTATCTGGTTCTGGTAGCAGCCTATAAACTCTGAAAGGATCGGTGCCTTCTAATTGGCTTCGTTCCTTCAGCTCTTTGATATCAGGCAGTTTGTTCAACGCACATCGAAGTCTAGTTTTCCATGTAGCTGGATCAAATTTGTCCACGCCTTCTTTGTATTTTCCTCTGTGTTCTGCCCAAGCCTACAAGAATAGAAAAAACTTTCATATAGAATAGATAACCCACTCAAATATTTGCCATCAGTTAGTGATAGGAGTTGTGAAAGCAGTGTTGTGATAGAATAGAATATTGCGATATCGTAATCTGTGTATCAATGTGTGTGGAATGAGTGTGAAATACATTCTCAATTCCCAATGTATAACTTGGATTTTTGATCTCAGGTCATAGTTAGAATTTTACAAACTGAACATAAATACTTTTCCGGCTTACATCTCTCATTTGCCACTGAAGTGTAAAAAATCATATCGCAGCCAATTGTCTCGCCTATGAGTTCGATATTGGTAGCGTTTTAATTTGATAGTAGGAACATAGATAGCGATTTTAGTTAAGAGTTTACATATTATCACAAATTGATATGAAGTCATTTTTATGGTAACACCCAGACTTAATGCTTAGCTAGTCTTTCTCGGAATGGAGCCATTCTGTCAATTCCCGCGCCCAACACACGTATTTCGAGACCGCAACAATAGTGATTATACGATACCAGGCGATATCACGCCCAACTTAGATATTTCCTACCAAGTTTCGATCGTTTGAAGACGGTAGATGACTCAAGATGATTAAATGTTATCATAATAAATCATGCTTAAACTAGTCAATATATATATATACATATGTGCAACGCTGTTAACTTAACAACAAAAACTACAAATCACAACAACCCTTCATTTACAATTGTGGTTTGAGTTCAATGGGACAAAAAATCCATACTCCGATTCAAAATAGTTTCTAAAAATATATAAGCGGATATGACACAAACAGTCCATATGCATCGTTGACATAATGCTCTTAAAGATACAATGGTGTGACTTTTGACTCAACCTAGCATCCGTATGAGGGAAAACTGTGATCTACACTGTAATATCATACGATGACTATTGAAATTGACAATAAAATGATTTATGCTGAATTTTAACATTGTATTCCTACAATAGAAATGTAATTCAGAAAGTATTTGCAAAGTTTTGAAATGTTTTCAATGAAAATATGTTGATAAAATTCCAATGCACAATTTTGTACATAATGGAACTGATTCGTTGGTTTTCAATAGCGTGTTTTGGACGTGTATTGAATATAAGAATCACAGTATAGCAATACGATCCAGCCCACGAGATCCTTGCATTGTTCTCAGCCTTTTTGTAGGCAGTTTCGCGCTGGTTTTGTTGGAAGAAACAATACGTGGGCACTGTGTACTGTGTACGGGTCTGCCAGTCAGCGGAACGGAAGTCATTGAAATGAAATTATAAGAAGCTATCGAATCAAGGTTTCGATACAGTGAGTGAATGATTCCAGTTTTGTAATTTATTGGTACGAAAACGTTACCAAAATATGGTGGTTGTTCAATTTTTAGGAAATTTCGATTTGTATTTGAGTATTTTCCATGAATGAGAAAAAGGAGTAAATGCGTGCCATAGCTTTGTTTCGTTTAAATGCCGATATACTTTGATAAAAATCTCTTCAAGAATACACACAATTTCATTCACCAATATCACCTCGTCCATAACAAAAATAGTCAGTTAGGATGATGTGGGCAATGCTGGTTTATTGTACCACCATTCTATGGCTCCATAAGATATTCAAATATTTGTTTCGCCTGTGAGAAACGCCAAGATAACGCAATAAACAAATCTGTATTAAATTTCATTCCAGAATTTGGGTAATGATATCGAAAAAGTATATTATACAGTATAATTAGTTTCAATAGCAACAATTGGATATGATCAAAAATATTTGGTGAAGTAAGAATATTATTATACATAATATACGGTTTCGATAGCCCCGCATTGACACGATCGAAAATCGCTATACATAATAAGGAAGCCGATATCACATCAAGTCATCAAATTACTGTTGCCGCTTTCGGCAAATGTGTTTTGTGCACAACACTTGCACCATTGTCTTATACATGAGTTTGAAGACTGAAATCAACTAAGAATAATATTTTGATAATGAAGCATTTTATATAAAAGCCTGGCCTGGTCTTCGAATAACAAGAATAGTTGATAACAATTTTCACATTTCAGCAGGCAAAATTTTTTCAGATTTAGTGCCTAATTTGCCTCATTTTATAACAGCATATCAAATTATGTAAATTTGCTGATATGCGACCCATTGTGCATAACCTGAATGAAACTAAGTGGTAGAAATTGTTTATAGTACAAATTGAGTATTATTCATGAAGATGCAAAAAAAATAGAAAATTTTGTTTGGCATTTAGTGTTTCTCACAGAAACACACAAAATTTGTACACAAACAGTAAACGATCTTCGCCAACAAGTATATTCACAAATAGAAATATCATAGTTATTCCACATTTAACAATAATGCCTATGAATAAGTCGAAAAACACAACAGTGACAACATTTGAATATAAAAAATCATGATTATGAAACACAATATTCGGCGTTCCTGTATGACTACTGTTTGTAGAAATGTGCATTGACCTGTACTGTTGTAATATTTAACAATACTTTATCACTGTTCATTGCCAATAAATTCAGTAATATTACCTATCAAAAAATATAAAACTAAATATAGCAGAAACAAACCTTCCAAATGTAAAGAACAACAAAATTTTTAAAAATTTCAATAAAACAATGTACAGCAATTTTCAGCAAGGCAATCCTCAAAACAACTAAACTCACCAGCAAGTATTGCATAAACAAGGAGCTCTTGTCGACCAAATAATTTTTTGCATTGTCAGTTTTTTTTTTTCCAAAATAGTGATTTCACTTCCTCATTTTGTATAGTTTCGAATGAGGAAAATATTACTTTAAAAGCTATTTTATGGTAAACTTGTGAACAAAAGATTGGTTCTGCTTTTTCTTATTGTCTATTTCGTCATAACGATTTTACTTAGTGTTAGGGTCAGCTTCGAGACTGAGTTCAAACTAAGTGAACGAAATATTCCCTTCCCCTCAAAAACATAATCGCGTGCGGCCAAAGTAAATGAATGTTAGTTATTCAATTCCTTTATTTGAACTTTTTAAGTCTTCAACGGATATCTATCCGATTCAACCCTAATTTCTGAACTCCGGGTGTCTTAGGGTCTAATTAGATCTCTGTTAGTTGAGATTGGTCTTTTATGACAGGCATACACTATATATTGGCTAATAAATAAATATTAGGTAAAGTCATATATATTATAAAAAGTCAAATAATTGGTGGGTAAAAAACCACGATACGTCTAACATATGAGCACGTCATTGACAATTATACCTAAATTGAATCACATTTCAAAATTGACGAATCAGTACAGCAGAAGGAAGATAAAATAAGTTGATAATCGAACGAATGCAAACGATTACTCTGGATCAATATATACGCATTGGCATCATTATCCTTTTATCTGTTCAAAGAACGTTTTGAATTTTGCTTTATTTCTAATGGAATAAAAAAAAACGGAACCAGTGGTAGATTTGGAGGTAAGTATAGCTTGTAGATAAATTAGATTTGATGATATATTATTTTAGGTTTACTAATAAAACTTCCGGCAATTGATTAGTAAGGGTTGGATTCATGGTAAAACTGATGGTTTATGCATTTTTATTGTATCTTCCCTTCCCAGTAAAATTGTGCGCTTAACTTTTTCTCATAAATTGCGTACGGTTGATTTTTACCGCCATATAGCATACAGTTGATATTTACCATAAAAGCAACATAACACAGCCAACGTAAGCTACACATTTTTAAATGTGTATCATTGGTCTCATCTCATTCTACCGTTAGTGCAGAGATTCATGTATGCTATGATTAAATATTTCAGTCGGAAAATAAATTTGCTGTAATTTCTCATTGACTATTACCGCACGCATCAATGTAATGAGGTCGACTTATGCAACACAAACGCTGCCGCATTTTTCTTGTGTAAAAGCAGGGAAATGAGTGATCAATTTAATTAGGTTTTGTATTGAAGATATAGGAAACGGCAACATGAAACCATTTTTCATGTGTTTGGAAACTTGTAAGCTACACTTACGCCATTGCGTGCCAGAGATTAATGACGCATCAATTTCGTGGCAAAGTTTGTGCAACGTCTTTTTGGTATTACTGTAGGCGTTATAGCACCTGACAGGCTCACTGGATAAACACAGTAAAATCAGTATCTTCCATTGCTCGCTTAGTTGGCTATATACAACAAAAAATAAATATATTTATTCAATCACAGATACACAAATGTTTAATGTAAATTAAACATACGTATACATAGAAGACGAAAATTGCAGTACATAAAGTTATTAATCAAACACATTTCCGCAGAAACAGTGACAAGAGTATTCATACAGCCGTTCTAATCATACATACATTGTACAAGTTTGCAATAGGGAAAATTCTCAGGGGATGACGGCATGCATACATACTTTTAGCAAAAACAAATCGTAATTTCATGTAATATGAACTGAATTCATACGTCATTTACTTTCAATGGGATGTATTTAGGTACATTCAAGATAGTCAAACTGCCGTACCCCATAATCGTGTCAACGAGAACGTTAGTCGCTAATGAGTAACTTATGATGTATGAAACCACGTGGTCGAAGAGAATTAACAAATGTATCGATAAGTCGATCATTTTCGATACACCACCCACAAGTTGCAAGGCTATATATAATATGACGCCATTGAAACACCAGATTTATTATTTAAAACCAAACCAAACCACCAATATAAGAATTTCTCTGTTTGGGAACATTTTTGTTGAGTCTATTTCAGTACGTCACAAATATCATTTGTATTCTGCTATAACGAATTGATATATAAAATTAGTATATTTTCGGTTTATATCATAACAAAATGGCACCAAAGTGCGGTTCGAAAGTTGGCGTTCTACCGTCGTTTTTCATAGATATTTATCTGTTGTCATTTATAAGTCAAAACGTAAAACAGCCTTTAGGCGTTATTTGCGAAATTTATAACGTTCATACCGAAGATAGATAATGATAGAACCTAAGTACAAAATTCCACTTTTGGTTTTAAACGACTATCCGCCGGCTATGTAATCTTTGAAATTTCATATCCTAAAATTAATAATCCAATATGCCGTTCATCTATAGTATAACACTCAATCAAATATAAATGTTTTATATTTTTTCTTCAATGTGCTATGATTTGAGTAGGGTATATCACCTTTGCGTAAATTCATAGCATGCTATTGTTTAAATTATGTATGTTTGTTAGTATAATGAGAAAACGGTCGTACTCGAAAATAAACATAAATTTAGGCTAATGACATTGACAATTACTAATCAACTTTCTCCAAAAATTTTGGCAACTAACTAATATATTCCGAAATCCAAAAAATTTTGTTTCAGTTTAGCCTTTAGTCGGATTAACGGATTAATGGCCAGTTAAGAATTTATGCCGGATTGTTGTAACTGCAAGGTCAGTCCACAAGTTGTGACTTGTAAAATTACAAAATAATTGAATATAACCCACCACTGAATAGTGCCAATTTTACAATTTCAAATAAAAATGTTCCAGTTTAATTGTATACCAGGACAATCGCCACCAATATTGGTAGTTGGTGTGCTCTAGATGTAATATCAAAACACAACAGCAGGGACAGAAATATGAGCCTGTGTGAGTTCATTGCTTAGAAACTTAATTATTAATTGGCCTATATTAGAGTATGTACATTTTAGTAAAGACACTGATGACCAAATTTATTGCGTTTTATTTATTCCAAATTCAAGGTATATTGATGATACAAAACTACCAACATTTGGCTACATAGTTTCGATCGAAACCGTTGCCGAAAAGTCTCATGCCCAATATACACCACGCTTTGCCACGTTAGCATGATCGTGCAAGTGGATACGTCATCTGATGTCACATCCGGTCTAAGTATGAGGAAGCCGTTCACATCAGAAAGCAAACACCATAGATGAAGTTAAATGCTTGGGATAGTTGTCCCATATGTACCATTAACAGGGGATTAAATGTCGGATAACTTTGCAGTTTGAATCATTAACAAGTTTGAGTTTTACAAATTTGTTTTTCACAGCCCGATATAAAGAAGTACCGCAGATATCTCACATAATATTCAGGAAATTCAAAACGGTAACCATGCACTAACCATCGATAAAATTACAAAATTTACAAATCAATCGATCGAAACCCGAATAGTTTCACACAGAATGTCAATTTGCACGATTTGATGTTATTTATAACCAGTGTTCTGTACAACGAGACATGCTTCAAACTATGCTATGTATGTAGTATTCGCAAACAAATTCGGTATATCGATAAAAGCAAACACTACCCTACCAACACAGAACAATATAACTTTGTGCGTAAAATTATGTATTTAGTAATCATTTGGCAACTGTGGTTACGATGCACATCCTTATTCGAAAATACACGGACATTTTTATATCACTGAACCACTTACCTCTTAGTTAATCATACATATTGCTTACATTTCGTTTGAATTATTTATTATAAATATATTCTCCAGTCATGTAAATTTTTTGCCTACCTTCTGTGCGAAAATTCATTACCGTGATTATTTTATTGCTGGTTATTTTATTTTCAAATTATAAATTTTAATTGTGAGTATTAGTTAAAGTATATAATGAAAAACCAATTTAATTAAATACTAACCGATAAAAATGTTTGGATATTTTATAATTTCAGGCATTGTATGATTTTGTATGAACAGTACCATAGAAAATACCAAATTACCTTAAAAATACGACAGTCGTCTTCTTTCCAGTTGTTTTTTCCCGCGTGTTTCCAAGGTATTCGGAAAATTGTTTTCCCTTCGTCCTCCCACCTTAATCCTGGAATCTGTCCATTTTCAATCATTTCAACTAGCCAGTAGCGAAGTCGTTTTGGGGGTTCTGATTTTCCCCCAGCTGACGATTGTGGTGACGGAACTGCCATGTGTGGTGGAGGTGGCGACGAAAATGCAGAAGTCGAAGATGCCGGTGACATTCCAGCGAGACCCATAGGTGAACCCGGTCCACCGAACCCCATCCCGTTTCTAAGTCCGTTCGCGGGAATGAAAGGCGGAGAATTAACTGGATCACCCGGATGCATAGGATAGCCTTGCGCGGCGAAACTGCCCACGCGCTTTGTAAACATGTCTACGGTGTTCATCACTGTTCTTATTCGACGTCCTGATCGAAACTGAGAATGTTGTCAGACAGCCAGTACACGAGAGTAAATACTTATTATTAAAGCCGTCCGATGTCTAAAGGTTCTAAATAGCTAATGCAAAAACAAATTTCACGTTTCTCGCAATGTGATAGATAGTCTTACAGTCTACGTTACTCTAACAGAAAGAACGTTCAGATAGATATATTTAAATCGCGTACAACACAGCGACTAACCGCTTATTGCGGCATAAACTCCGATACGCCGCTCATACAAATTCAACACTGATTGCGCCTCTGGGAAACTCTCGACTAAAGCTATGACATCGATTTACACAACGTTGTTGGCCAATAGCCATTTGGGAATTCCTGGAAACGTCTATACCTGCTAGCCTATCGCATATTCAGCTGTACATGTAATTCTATATATATGAAAAGGAATCATTATTTTATCGCCCAATTGTTCATTCACAAAAGGAATTGCCGATTCGCATGTAACTTCAATGTAAAGAAATGGATTCACACGAAGGGGATTTCCAAACAGCAAACTAGGTAAGGGATTTGGCCTACTTGGCACTTTATAGAAATGGTGTACTGGGCAACAATAACCTACGAAGCGATACGCGGAAGTTGAAGGACGCGTTCAGCAAAGACGAGCAGGTTCTATCTACTTTTACTAAATGTATCTGTGTCGTGTCGTATATGACTTTATATTGGATATATACATAAAAATAAACATATTTGTGTTTGACACCAGTGTCTAGCTGTATTTATCAATACCAAAGCAAATACAAAACAGAACATTGGTTCGATCGAATTTTAAATGTGGTATATTTTCTATCAGTCCACCACACCAATGCAGTTCGTCAATCACGCATTTATTTAGCCACAAGCTTTGGTACTTCACATAGAAGCAAATCGATGAACGCCCCAGGGTGTTCACGAACTTGAACGCGTCACGTTCGAAGAATTTGGCATTTATCAATACAACATTATTTTATCTACTGCAAAAGCCCACTTCATTAAACTAATTCCGAAAAACATTTAGCCATTTAATTGTTACCTTTCATCGTTATAAAAAAGAAAGCAACAAACTAATGCCTAGGAAAAGTCTGGTAACGCCACTAAGATTGATAGAAAACATTAAAAAAAATGAAGCCAATGAGCCCCCAATCAGTCGATGACTAAATGTATCTTACATTGTTCCAAACCATTCGGCATTTTTAAGGCTCTGTACTAATTTTTCTTCACGAAATGAAAAACCCAACATTTCTACACATGTTTTAAGGCATATAACAAGGTAATTCAATACATCCTCGAGTGTAAGAGTTAGTAGCGTAAAAATCAAATCCTTTCCTTGATTCGGTATTTTATTACCTAGTAATAATGCTTAGCCAAAACTCCTGACACTTGATGATGGGCTTGATTCCCGGGCATCGAAACTATGGATTGTTGACCAACATACATACTGATCGGCAAACAGGTAGGCTATAGTCAACAGTATACTGCGCAAACATACGGTAATCGCTATATGCTCTGCTTCATTTATGTCAAGACGTCGAAGCAAACGATGCGTTTCCGCGTTGTTGATAAAAGCAGCCATGCTTTGGGACTTCGTAAACTGTTATGGCTCGTTGCGATGACGTCATTTGGGAGAAATGTTCGTATAGTGACAAAACAACAATAACAGTGTGGAGCTTTTGTGCGAGAATAACGATGATAAAATAAATATATATGTAGTTGAACAAATTAAAGAGGCATATTGCCTGTTATTTATTTCGACCTCTACAACGACAAAAATCTTCAATGAGAAGTAGTGCACAGTATGTAGGTAGCCTGCCCTATGGTATGAATGAATGGATTTAACCACGAGAGCTATATACATATTGTTATTGGACACGTTTAGTGGCCATAACGATCGTTTCAATATTATGTTGTTCTTGTTCTTTGACACGTTTTTGAAAAGTCGCTTTTCTCTTCGAATACTGGACCAATTGCTTTGAAATTTTCAGTGGTTAAAGATTAATCTTTTCGCTAGAAGGCTATTACTTTTATTTATTTCAAAATTTTGCGTGAATTCTATGAAATTTGATATTTCGTCTAAAATTTTGCTGTATTATTTTTTATCCATGGGAACACGGATTTTAGTCAGTGTCATGACTGGCTGTACGTTTTGAATCTGCAAAATTCTTGCTACTGGAAATTCAGAACTTTTTTGAGGGTACCGGTAGCGTCAAAGGTACCGGTAAGGACTGATTCGCTCTGATCTAACGTGTCCATATATTTGTGCGTAGCTCTCTTGTTGTATATACGACGTTGGCTGGTCCCAGGCCTGCAGCTGGAATGGTTATAAATAAGCTTCGTATTTTAATTAAATGATGATAATTTAAAGTCCGATAATTTAAAATTTGTGGAATAAAACTCTCTTTACCGAGGATGTGGCGTACACGGGCTCGCGACAGAATGTCGATATGATTTAAATGGTTATCGTCACTGGGATTTTAATTAGATTAGAGTTGACTTGATTGGCATTTTCAGAATCTAAGCGGGAATGAGCATTTGGCAGCAATGTGATCGGATTTAAATGGTAATGTATTGGTAAATGGTAATACAGTATATCAGTTTAAGATAGCTGTGATGACCCTTGTTTTATCTTTTAAATGATGTCATGTGATATTATTGCTCTATTTTGTGTTTTTAACACTGAGGGCGCTGTGACACTGTCGATCTGTCCTTCGGTATCCTGTTAGCCCAGGTACTCAATTTAAACTCAATTTAACTGGAGGCCGCCGAGACGGAGCCTTAGTGAGTCCGGGCCGCATCCGGTTTTTCACAATAAAAGCATTAAACTTAAAAAGTTAAATCTTTTTCTCTGTCTTTCTATACGCAAAACATGTCAAAAACATAAATGTAAGTAATTCCGCGATGGACCTTTCCCCGAGCATCTACTTCCTTGCTTATTCCGTAACATGGGCTAATCAGCAAGACGCAAAAAGTGACGTAACAATAGACTTTTTCGCAAACGCTCAGACACTTGTCACTCAGAAAGATTTTCAGGCAAGTTTGTAAACATTACCTCGTTTTTGCATGCTATTTGTTAGTTTTGGGTTGTGTTTCAGAAATTCAAGGATGAATCAAAGAACTCAATGATCATTCTGATTGCTTGGGCGTCGTAGCTTAATTGTCGTATACAAATATTAGTCTAGAAATAGTTGTGCTAGACTAGGCTAAACTTCTCTACAGGTACTTTCTTCGGGGTCAAAGGTCCATCGAATATCATGCCTACAGATACGGTACTGGTAGGTTACCGTGCCGCATATGCTTTTCGGGGGATAGATTATAAAATATTTTGCTTTGCTCTACTTGTCCTGATCATATATTAAATGCATCAATCATTCTAACTGAGCTGAGTGACTTACGGGCCGCACTAACGTTAAACTTTCATACCAAGGCGGGGGCCGCAAACTATCGTCCTACGGGGCGCGAGTTTGAGACCCCTGTGTTAGCCTATGCTGTGGTTTGCCGTAGTGCAGTTAAGATAAGATAGGATTTACAATTTCCTTAATGCACAAATATGGGAGGTTTCCTATAGGTTCTTAGCGGAGCGGTTGAGAATGAATATATATATATCGTTTATCGCCAGGATTTAAAAAATCTTGATTAAGATAAACTAAGTATAGTCCAAATGAATTGTGCATGGTCATAATCACCGTCCAGCGACTTGATCTCTGTCGTTAAATGTAAACATATGCAAAAAAAAATTTGACAACGTTTGCTATTTTCATCAAACTGTATTTACAAAGCATAACAAGACAACAATTGAAAGTTGTTATTATATATACTGCAAATATTAACTCTCAGAAGCAAGCCTACTTGCGAAAAACACATGGATGGCGATAGTTGAAGATAATTTAATTGAACACTTTAATTGGTGATATCGTCAAAAGATTTGTGGCAACTGAATCCATCCCCAATGTATCCATTTCTGCAAATACATTCATAGCTTCCGTCTGTGTTCACACATGCCGCATATGGACTACATTGATGCGTTGCCACACACTCATTCTCGTCTAATTTATAAACATAAATAAAAGTCAGTTGAGTTACTTTCTGAGAAGAATAGTAGAAAAAAGAATGGCGTGACAGCAGAATAAAATAAAGGATCCAAGTTTCAAATATGCGTTTGTCTCCAATTCGCATATATACATGGGAATATTAAATTGGTCCCCAGTTGAGTTAATATTACAGTCGCAGTATCTGACATAAAATAGAAACTAATTTCTCTTCAAGGAATTAGGGAGAAGAGCTTTGCTAAAGGCGAATACCACAAAAGTAATCGATATTTCTAAAGGAATTGGTGGAAGGTTTTCTGTATTGCGTCTCGTAAATATCTGAACTGGAATAAACGTTAGTGTTGTAGACTACTCACGGTATTAACCTGTGCAAATGTATCCACTTCCTTCATATCCTGCATTACATTGACAGTAATAAGAAGACTCTGCAGTTATGCAAATGGCGTTCTTGTCACAATTGTTTTCTGGGAAACATCCGCTTGACTCTGTACGAAAATAAGAAGTATTTATCTACTGAATGAAATTAATCTTTCTGCAAACATAAATTCAATCATACTCACCTATTATCTGGAAAACCGAAATTAAAATAGTAAAAATTGATAACTTAGAAGACATTTCAAAAAAATTAGAGCAGGCCGGTATATTGTGCAGGTTTATTGATTTCTGTAACATAATTTCTAAAGCATGAAATCTCATTAAATACTACTTTGCAAGTTATCAAAATTCACCTGTCAACTCAGTATTTATTTAACCTTTTGTAGCATCGTCTTGGCTACATTATCTCACTAGTCACTAACTACCCTCTTCATCTGCCCACCGGGTACCATAACGTAATCTAGTTCACTACTTTCAGCAATATTCAGATTTTCAAACATTGGATGCCGCTTCCAAACAACTCATTATACTATGTCATATATTGATATACTACAATATATTGATCAGATGTAATGATTATCCATTGATGTTATTATAAAGAAACTTTCCACAGACAAATTCACTATAGTATGCATGAATTTAATAGCATAAGATAAGAATATCTAAATAGCTCGGAATCTTTTACCGAAAAACTTTATCATCTACTAACGCCATTCACAACCTGAAAAATTTTATTGCTAGAATAATTTTGATAATTCTTACGCGCCATGTCTGAATATCTGGAGTCTTAAAAGAATAACACAGATTATATATTATTTAGATGATTGCGCTATCTCATCAAAATCTAAAAAATTAAGTCTTCCTCAAAATTTTCCTTTCATCCAACGCGTTACGGAAACATATGTCAGTGAAAGCACATTTTTAATAGCTTGCGTGATTCATCTGAAATACCCGTAATCTTTATCGGTACAATACAGAATATTTAGATGATTCCGCCACGTTTGTGGAAACCAACATTTTTGACTTCCTACCAAATGTTGCATACCCCTGGAAGCCCATGATAAAGGGCCATTTTCAAAAGAACTCAAATAATTTAGCCTAGAATATCGACATAACCAAAGCTAACGCTCATATTTGCAGCTCTTACGTGATATATATAACTAAGCACTTTTCTCAAGCAAGGTAGAATTTTTGAATATATGCGCCATTTTATCCGCAGGTAAAGAGAGGAACTTTCCATTCGAATTTTAACCCCTAACAAACTTCCAGTGACTCAACAACATACATTGCTATTTTTTATTCTATTTGGTGGTATGGATTTTGTTTCAAATTGCCCCTGCTTCACAATTAATTTACAAAAATTGAATCGAAGTGATTGTAAACCTAAACTACAAAACCTATATTGCGATTAAATATTTTGGTAAGACTAAGCGAGATTTCGATTGATTCTTCAGCTTGTCAAGCATTGGAATTTCCATTTTCAAATAACATTCTTCGGTAAAAACTTTCTTCATTCCAGCTATTGTGTAATGAACATAATAAAACCGTACAATTAGCATACTATACATTCGTAAAACAACACTTAAGCCTTTGTTTTTTCTCACTATTTTATCAATGAATTCTCCAGCTCAATTGGAATTTCTATTTTCAAATAAAATTTCCTGATAAAAATATATTTTTTATTGTCAGTACATTATGTAACGAAAACAACAAAACAGTACAATGATCATATTAGGCATCAGTGAAACAACACTTGATGCGTTTGCCTCTTTGTAGTACTTCTTCATCTGATTTGAGAAAATTACGCCATCCATTTTTGTCGCCGACTTGGTTACTGGATGTCGATGTTATCACCCAGATTCGGAAATAAAATCCTGCAATAAAAAACATCTAGTTAATATAGCAAAGACATACAAGCTTGTCATTCAATACTATATATGAATATATTTATAGCACGGTCACTTCTATTCATATGTACCCAATGGATGTTTGAAAAAAATTAAATAAATTTAGTATGAGATGATAATGACTTAAATATAAAACCTATTTATTCCGGTGAAAAACCATGGTGATTTTTTAATATTGCTTACAAATTATTCAGATATACGGTAAGATCCCTTACACAACATTTTGTATCGAGAACGTGAATTCATAGGTTATTTCATATATTCAAAAATATTAGATTTCAAAGTAAAATCTATGTAATCAGAAAAATATAAGATGAGCGAACCTCAATGAATTTGTCAATGTCAAATTCTTTAGTATCTTCTTTTGAATCTGAATTTGCCTTTTTAATTCCATTGTCATGTCTCTAAAAATTAATTAGTACAAATAATGTTATCGAATAATATAAATGCCTCGTAAGCCTACCATCAAATGTATATATATATATATCTGCTGAAGTGAAAATTAATTTAACAGGTTGCTCAATAAGTTGTGAGTTACCTTATTATCTTCATTTACCAAACTTTCAGTATTTTCCAATATTTCGTTTATGATATCTTCAATTGGAGTTTCGGGTTTTTCCTCGATCTGAAATATGGTATAAGAATACTTACTTACATTTTTACGCTTGAAGATATTAACCCTCGACTAGATTGCCGCGCAGGCCGTATAATTTTAGATAACTTCCGTAATTGGAGTATAAATAAAAATATGTTAATGGAAGGTTACTAATATTTCAACAAAAAAACTTAAGTGGATTGAAATTGGACAAGGCAAAATAATGCGATGGGTTTTTCTCTCTGTTCCAGTAAGCTATCTAGCGGATGTGATAGAGGCATAGAACGTCAAAATTAAAGGCTGCTACGAACAGTTATTTCTTGCACTGAGCTTACAGTAAGTTTGATAATTTTGAAATCTCACATTGATTCGTTCACCCAATGAACCGTCTTGTTCAAGTCCTACAATATATGTCGCTCTTGAACGCATCTGTAAAAGTTACAAACTTTTCAGTTAAGATACTTTTTTATTGTCCTCTATTGCGGGGTTCTATTAGGGAGTTCTTTCCACATTTTGTGAGATTTTTACAGCCGTCTGCTTTCGACTCCAAACATTGTCTTAGATTTCGATCAAATAATGAGTATTAGAATATATATAACACCTCTCACTCTGTTTTTAACCCATTTAAAATAAATATCAGTTTCCTAGTAAGAACTTTAAACATAATATTACAACTAACATCTCTATCAACGTAGTCCAATTTGGTATTCAAAATTTCATCCACAAAGTGGCAGCATGAGTCATCATCAATCTGTAACACATTAAACATAGATTGCATGAACAAAAAGTTTCATTTTATAAGCAGTTCAACATTACTTACTGAAGGCAGTGAAGACACATCAGTAAAATCAGAATCCACAACGTAAGTTGCTCTTGATTCAATCTGTTAAAAACGAATTTAAAAAATATTTGTGTATTGAGTTCCAGTGAGTTAAATGTAATGAAAAATATAGGCATTTCATCCCAGATAAAAAGGATAATAGAGTAATAGAACCGAAGAACATGATTTAAATAATTGCTGAGACGAGACATTTATACTTGAGTATAGCCTACTACTTCATCATCTAAAGACGTTTTGTAACTATTGCATTTGACTTTATCTTATGTCTGTAAAAAGTTAACGAACTTCTCTGATGTCAATCCTCTCGTTATGGTCAAGACTTTGGTCGATTGATATAGGTCTCACATCATTCTAAAATATTTTTTCATTAAAATTAGGTATTACATAATAATTTTAAAACTATAAATTAGATTATTAATTCAATTTTTGAATATTTTCTCACTTCCTTCATGCAATATGGAGGTTCTGTCGTAGTGTCGACCTGCTTTTTATCAGAATCCATACGGCCCTGTAAAATAAACACTGGTCAAATTACCAAGGGGACTAATCGGTGAAAAATACTCTTTTTGATATATAATATTTTACTTACAATGATATTTGAAACATGTGCCTCGAGATGATTTTCAACTTGTCCAAGCATCCAATCCATTCTCTCGGCCACTGCCATTGCAATCTAGAACATTGGATTATTATGTTTGTGATGTCGTTAGTAAGTACCATTACAAATTTCTAGTAATATCAAAATAGATGCTAAAATCTTACTTTGATTTCTGTTGATTTCTCAGTTTGAATTAAAGCATCTTCACTCTGCTAAAACAATTGAAATAAATATTCGCAAATGATATATACAGCGCTTAATTGAATGATGGATCAATAAATATTTACACAGTGGATTTTATGAATACTAGTTTAGGCTGTTACTGATATATACCGGTATAGATATTCTATTCTTCTGTACATTTTCACCGGATTTAATTATTTTTCTACTTTTCATAAATAATATCTCATTATCCGATACTTGTAATTAGTTATCTTATGAATAAGCAATTTATCATCCTGAGCATCCAATAAACAACAATACATATGTCTAGCCCAAAATGACGAATAAATTAAATCAATTGGTTTTCAATTTTGATATCTCCATATTGTTGTTGTTGTTCACATCATTTGGGCATTTAGACCATAGAAGTCATTTTTGTGGCTGAGTGAGGGATAATCCTTCGTTAATATGCTTGTGCCGATTTTAAAGTATTTCAATTAAAAACAAAGTTAATAAACCTCTCTTACGACTTTTCCCTCTCTGTGTTCCAAACATCCAATAACTGATGTTGGTACTTCATCAACCTGAATTAAAAATATTTACAAAGATCCAATCATTATGGCTAAATAAAATAATTTGAAAGAAATTATAAAATTGCCCAGGAAACAACATAAACATCTGTCAGAGACCGAAGACTTATCGATCGAAAGTTAGGGGATCCCCCAAAACAGCGCTCTTACTCCATAGTGACACCTTGTATCCCATCACTAATTAATTAATAACTCGCTAATTATACGACATAATTCGCCCAAAATCAATAGGCTTCTGGTCCGAGATAAGATGAATACACATGCAAAATCTGGAGCAGATTCAGTCTTGCTTTCGTGAGATATCGCGCGCATCTAACAGACAAACAGACATACACACATACAGACAGACAAATACCTATCAACATACTTACCGATTAAAATCGATAAGTAATAAGTTTATTTCTTCAGTCATGACACAAGATTGGTATGATACCTACATCAGCATCTCCGAAGTTTGAACCCATCCGTTTAAGTGAAATAATCGTTATTTAGAACACTGGATCACAGGTATACAGCAATGCGCGTAATGTGGATAATTTAATAAAAATGATTCAAATTAAAAATTTGCCAATATTTTCATACTAATATATAGTTCCCATTTGCAATGTGTTATAATATACCCACAATTAATTTGTTATTCTTGTCCGAGATTCTCTCAAGTTGCTTTTCAACATGTCCAAGCATCCAATCCATTCTTTCAGCAACTACCATGGCTATCTATAATATTTAATTGATAATTTAGAACAAATTGATTTATTTATGTGGGTACACCCAATGTATGAATAAGCTACAAAATCTTACTTTGATGTCTTCAGTTTTCCCTGTATGGTTGTCGATTTCTTCAGCCTGTTGAAACAAATGTAGCAATGAAAATGCGTTCGCATTTAGCCCCACCCTTTTATCAGTCTCTTTTTTTTCAAGTTGTACTTTTTGAAGCAAATAATGGTCGTGAAAAACAGAATGGTCGCTTTTAATCAGCGGTGTTAAACTTGGCTGAGACCAAAAGAAACTGGATAATTTCTCATCAATTCACATAAATAATTAGCGATGGCTGTATCAATATATAACTCATAACTTGTAATAACCAAGTACCCTAAAATCAGTCCAATATAAGGATACATGAGTCCCGACAGGGTGATTAATTCTGTCATTATTTTGCACATTATTATGCACGATAAAAAAAAAAAGATACAAGGCGATACCTGTACTCCGAAAACCATGAGCAAAACTTTAGAAAACATTCAGGTAATTTTATAACAAATTGTACAACTAACCTTTGCTCCACATTGTGTTTCATTTGGCCCTTTTCTTGTTATGTCTTTCTCGAACACAGATGAAGGTGTAGTGACAGGTTGATGTTGTGTATAATCCTGTATAAATATGATATATTAGGATAATTTCAATCGTGTACTGTGAGAGTTTTAGATAAAATTTAGATACTCTAATTATTGTATGGGTCAGTATAGAATTGAAGGTTTTAAAATTATTGACAATAATAGCAACTGACCGTCAACTCATTGCTATTTATTCAATCACGTGGATATGGTGGTGGAGTATTTCCCGTTATTCGATAAAATGGATTTGGCTAAAATAGGCAGGAATGAACAAATATATTTGGAAAACTTTTAAACAACAATTACTATTTAAACTTACAAATTCACATGGTAATTCACAATAGACGTTCTATTCGTAATAAACAAATTAGATAGAAATCGTTGTTTTTAACTTCTACTATTTCGAATATTTTTTTTTAATCGAGTATTTTAACTTTTGACTATCAAATGTTTAATCAAAACTTAAAGTGGTTTTAAAGTACAAATATCAATATTGAATGTATTTATGAGCCAACTGGCACCATCACCATGCCTATGGTGGTATGTCTGTTGGTATTTAGCTTGACCCGTACATCGAATGTTGTGGCATCTTGCAAATTTTTGTCATTTTTTATTTCAGTCCTAGTTGTAATGTTTTAAATTAATAAAAGCAAACAGTTCAAATTTGCATTTCGTGAAAGGGTGCAATGAATTGGAGAAAAAGCCTTCCTTGCGCTGGAAAAATGGTATCAATCTTTTGCGTTTAATTCATAATATTGTGAGCTATTTGCCAATAAATAAGATAATTACCTCTGATGATTGTTGGAAAGCCAACATGAAGTCTGGCGATTCTGATTGGTCTGGGTCCTATAAATAAATATACCAATTTCATTTAATAACTGATGAAATCGTCTCCTCATTGGAGGGGGGGGGAGGGGGATTACAGGTACAGTTCAATAGACACATTTTGATTGAATGCAATTTGACAAACAAACGAAATAAATTTACCATTGATCGTATCATTGCATATTGGATGTCCATCTGGAAATAAAAAATTCAGTTCATTAAAAATATTCAATGAGAAAATGTTATCCACTTATATAATTCATAACTGTCTTACTCTCTCTATGTAGTCTAGGCTTTGGCGCTGTTCCAAAATCTTTGCAAATGGGTGAGGCGGAGTTGGTTCCCGAAAGAAATCCTAAAAATTGAATATTCAGTTTGTATGTCGTAAAACATTGAAGAAATTATGGGTTATAGGTTCTAAGTTATAAGTTTACAACAAGATTTAGAACTAAATTTTCCAGGAGTGGCTATCAAAAATTGAGAAAATGACCTCATGTGGGAATCTAATAGTATTGTATTTTATTACATATATCATCAATCATCATGCAATATAGCTTCGCAGTCAAAGAAATGTTGTATTCAACTGTTGTATGCCGAGATAATGTTTTGAGTAAAAGACTCCAAATTCTGGAGGAGCAGTAAAGGCCAATGCCCCGTCATACATGTTGAAAACCTTGCTGTTAGAATATGATAAAAAATTATCACGTGGATAATATTTCCAGACACGGTCGACAAGCTGAAATACGTGATGCTACTGTTATATAGGTGGGCTTGGAGTCATAGTTTGAAAAAACGCACATGAGTTTCAATTTCATAAACAACTTGAAACGAATGAATTCTCATCAATGTTATTGATGAAGCACAAATAATTTCTTACGTCATCTGAAAACGATCGTGGCAACTGATACTGAAGGGAATCTATTTCGCCATCTGTTCCGTTTTTGCACTGAATACCGGATACTGAGGCCTCTTGGTCCTTGAAAAATGGTTTAAATTATAGATTTATTAATTTTTGTTAACAGGTTCAAATTCAATAAATTTATTTTTTCTTACCCAAATTTCCCATGAACTCCCCGCTCCATCTCCTTGTTTTCTATGTAGGCACGCACAAAACTGTTAGTAAAAATGATAATTTGTCTGTGTCCTCTTCACTCGCATAATGTATTGCATAATGCAAAGATAAAATACATAAATTTAGAGTGAGAACACCAATATTCGAATCAGTACTAAGATTTATTGAATTGAATTGAAAATTCTAGAATACAACAATCGATCAAATTTGCTAATAACCTCCATATATTGCTTCACATATTCTCGGCGAATTTCTAATAAAATTTGTCGTTAAGTATTTTCTTATATTTTGACATTAATAAAACATGAGTATGTATTTGGACAAACCGTTATGCAGTGCGTCCTAAACCAATTCAATATGGTAATGATCACAGAAGATGATATTGTAGCTCTAGAAGATTCCTGAATAGAAAAAAACATTGTTTTCAATCATATACATATAGTAAGGGTACTTCCGTAGTATGTGAACCAAGATGGCGGACACCGGAACGTACTATGTGTAACAGGTTAGAGTTAGGCCATAATTTTATCCAATTTTTCTTATTTTAGTGCTATTACGAGTTTGGAAACTCGCCAAGTGACTCTCGTAGTATTTGTACCTGAAATGAGGGCCTAACCCTAGCCTGGTACACATAATACGATGTCCGCCATCTTGGTTCACATACTACGGGAGTACCATAGTAAGTATTGATCTGACTTAAAGCATTAGAATATCCATAAATTATCCATCTTCCGCACACGTAGATATCAAAATGGATTGTATTTTCCGTAGAACATGATTCTTTGGAAACATTACGTAAGTGTATATCTCAGTGTTTTGATTTTATATACGAAGAAATTCCAATGGGATGTTTTGCATATTTCTTTCATGATTTCAGGTTATTTTAAATTCGGTATTCAAATTTCGGCAATAAACTTGGAATACATTTGCTCAACATTGTGGAGTTGATGTTGAAGTGTAACTGAGTCCTCGCAGTCGCTGGTTGGCAATAACACCTCCAGCACTTGGTCATGGTCAATATTGAAGATTGAACTCATTAAAATACCATGCCTTTACGCCGCTACGAGGTAATGCGAAAATTAGACTCTACATTCTACAATCTACATTTACCAGAACACGCTTAGATATTAACATTATGACGTCACACAATGCTATGAAATGTAAAAAGAGTTCCACATTTATTAAATGATCATCTCGTTCTATCCTTTTCTCGGTACTTTATCATTGGGAAATATAATATTTCAATTATAATAGAATCGATTATTTATAAACACACACTTAATAAATCGTATAATGGATCTTAGTACTACTGCAAAATATATTTATCCAACCTTCTGGGTCTTCTTTTTTTGCTTTTTACGAAAAATATTTGCACATTTCTTCAACGATTTTGAGACTTTAATCACCGATTTTGGCCAATTTATTTGGCGACGATACACACGAATTCTTTTTCCGTTCCCCATTTTCTATGTACAAGCAAATATATATAATTAAAATCATACAAACTAATCATTATATCGGAAATAATCCAACCACTTACCATAGAGTCAGAATTAGAATAAAATTGTATTTTACGAATACCCAGAGACAGATAAATTTCAATTGTTTGCTAACAATATTTGTTTATAGTGATGTCATAATTTAGTGTTTCCTCATTAGCCTGAATGTGCTACCTGAAGGAAAACCATTTGAACAGTCGATAAATTTTGCGACAAATCCCGTTCGAGGGTAATACTGCAGAGTTTAAGTGAAGTTAAATATCTATAATCAAACTCAAAACATAAACTGCGTGCAACTTATATAAAGCTTTCTAATTGGCGTTTGCAACAGCAGCAAGTTATACAATTGATCATATTTATATTTTTGATGGCAAAAAAATTGCCGGGAAATCAATATTAATAGAACATTTACAGCTCTCAAATGCTGTCCAAAATCATTGAAGTAACATAATTCAGATCAAGGAACTTTTTATTCAAATCTAAACATGCTATTGGGACCATTGCATTGGAATCAGACAATGTACATTCTGAATAGTCGTAAGTGTTTCGCCTCCCACAGGAAGTCGTGGTGTAGCTTTGTTTTCGTGTTATTCTTGAGACCTAAAAATTAGATCTGGGAGCTCACCTTCGCCGAAGTGAAAATCTCTATACCTACGAAGTTATATTTGCTTCCCTGTATATTTGTTCCCAGTTTATACATAGGACTAAGTGCTCTAGGAAAATATGCAAATTCAATTCAACACGAATAAATTCTTCTTTTATCAGGTTAGCCATGGATGGTAGCAAACTACTATTTACGCCTTTTTGTCAATACACATACTCACCCTGCGTCCGCATCCCATCTTTCGATATTTGAAGACAGTCTTGAGTCACAAATACTGTAATTATTCATCAGATATATTGAAGTATGGAATTTATTTTTTGCCTGCTTTGATTTAATGAACAATGTGAATGCCTGGAATATCAATTATTGCTTGTTTCCTTGCGTCCCAACCGCAAACTTTTTGCGATTTTAAATTACTCCACCACCCACAAGAGGGCACTCTCGAGTCACAAAATTGTGATTACAAGCATGTCATTTACGAAGAAATTCTAGCAGCAGGATCTACTATTACTAAAAAAGTATGTGTAATTGCAGCAATCAACTTATTACATAAACCCAAAAACATAAGAAATCGATCCCAAGATATTTCAAATATTTTCATAACTATTTCATAACAATGTTTCGTAGTTAAAGTGTGTTTTAATTGCTTTTACTTATGTATGCTGTATTTGGTTTTCACACGAGATATTTCTTGCATGAAGTTTAAATCAATTGTGATTATCTATTCCGAATATCTCTGAATATCTATAGAATTAGGTTTTAAGTATAAGTTCTTAGTATAGGAAAATATTATACACGCATATCGGTTCATCTTAGGTCTAACGATTTAACGCTGGTTAACGTCATGAGTGTTTGTTATCCAAACTCATGATTCCATGAATTTATTTTAGTTTAAGGTTCTAAATGTTAGAAGTATATCCTCTTATAGTATTTTATAGGATGCGGGTCTAAAAAGAAAAAGAAATTCATACAACTAATCACATTCACGAAAGTTTGATTTCAATGTAAACTTTAGAAGTATATAAAATTAAGTTTGATGTATGCAATTTCTCATTAAAACGGGAAATAGATAAAGTTTTTCTATTACCACTTCCATAATTTAAATAATAATTTTCAAGTATGAAATCTTTCATTATACGTGGAAACAGAAGAATGGCTATATTGTTAAAGAGCATTCGAAAAAATTATTCGATTCATTGTATTGAAAAACAGAAAGTGTGAAGCTTTCCAAGGGAAAATAAGAAATATAATGCAAAGTTGATTTGACTTCGTATTGTATTTTATTTTTGATTGCAAGTTGATTTTTACTTCCTCCTTGCTTTTTTAGGAACAAATCTAGTATTATTCATAATTTTTAGTCATATATACTTTATTTTGTGATAAAAGTATTTGAAATTTATGGTGAATGGAGTAGGATTTAATGAGAAAGTCCAGTTTGATGACGGTTTGTGTAACTTCTTGATTGTTCTGTCATTGATGAAGTCATCAAAATAACAAAGACGAATTTTAGAAAGTTCTGACTCAGAGGTTGTTTGAGGTAATTAAGAAAACCACTTCCTGGATATCTATGTATGCGATCGGTTTGTTGTTTAGCTACAATTTATATACTTTCAGAATTTGAGAAATTGTAGTGATGAATAGACAAACTGTCTAAAAAATATTTCTCGTGGAATGCCCTGTTATTATAAAACGTTAATGGTCGATGCAATGTTGTGAATTATTTTAGAAACAATCCCTTGAATATCATATCCCAATTAATATTCCGATTGTTAAATACAGTTAGTTGAGTTTACAAATGTAACTTGAATGTAGGATTATTTTAACCCTTCTTATTTCGGTTTTTATCTTCCTTATATAAAATTTAGAAATAGCAAAATATATAATTTACTCAAATTCGTGATTTGTTAAAAAAAAACATTATTCAGAAAATATGTTCCCCAAAGTTATTTGGAATTATGAAAACAGTCAAAAATATATGAATCAAAGATTATTATAAATATTTTAAGGCGAGAGACAATAATTTATCACAAATGAATAACTTTTCGTCTTCTTTTGCTGCCATAGGCAGTAGTTCTTTTATTATTTTATCTTTTAGTTGAAATATCGCATTTCAAAGTACATATCGCATCTTCACATCGTAGCATTCTGCAACAGAAAGGCATGCCAGATTATTTCAGTGAACACGTAACTCCTTCTTGGCATCACAAGATGAAAAAAGGTACAGGAATATTGTACAAAATGGTTAAAACTTTGCATGTTCTGATATTGATGAATTTTCAGCATTAATATTGTTATGAAACCAAGGTCCTTTTATCAATTTTTTACTTGTTATTGTCACAACTTTGGTTATAACTGAATATCTGATTCAATCGTAAGAGTCTCATCTAGATTATAATTAATTTGAAACTGTATATATATATATAACGAGGGGGTGGGGACGATCCCAAACACAAATTTTTGTTATGAATAATTTTAACTACATCATTCACCCAACAGTTGGATCCGGTTTCTGATCCACCCACGAACCGAAACTAGCTCAGTTGATGGCCTTTGTTGTTTTCATTTTACGATATTATGTCATTCGTTTCATATATTATAGATACACTGCACTGTTTTGGACCAAGGTTGATCAGTTAAATTCAAAGTATGTTTCAGTTAATCTCTCGCATATTTGAGTTTACGGAAAGCGAACAACTAACGTGACATAAGTCATTATGGCGTTAAATAAAGAGAGCATCACGTGATCAAAATACCCGTATTCGGCTACTCGTGTAAATATGTTCTCCTAGGTTCCATTACATTTGAACCCACGTACATTTGAACCCACGACAATTGCACCTGCATGCCATTGCACCTATGGAAATTTTTTTGGTTCTACGGATATTTGTACTCATACCAACCTAACCCATGGGTTTTAGCACCCGCATATTGATTGAACCCGCGGATATACACATGGGTTCAAATGTACATGGGTTCAAATGTACGGTCACCGTTCTCCTGTGTTCAAATGTACGGTCACCGTTCTCCTAGGTTGAATTGCACTCGACAAATGCAGGAAAAAAACAATTTAGGTAACCACTGCCAAATGCGGAATGTATGTGGATTATCATCCGGTCTATCTATGTTTCAAGATTGTCTATACACAAAATTTGCGTTTAGTCTAGATTTTACTGTTATTGGTAAATTTTGCATAGCTTACAGCTTCGATTACGCATGATTTATCAAAAGTATATTACAAACCTTTGTTTATCGTTCTTTTCTTAACTTTACTGTAAATGAAATGTGGGTTGTTTTTTAAAATTTTGGGAAAATTGATTTCGAATTTTCAGTATTTGAAGATCGAGTAAGTCGATAGAAAACTCTTACTTTCAGTTATTTGAAATTTTCAAGGTCTTCGCGGTTCGATATTTCATACAAAATCTTGCTGTTTTTGTTATTGATTCATACGAACACTGTTTTGACATTTGATCTTCGTGTCCGTATATTGAGCATTGATATCATATTCCAATTATTTTGCTATAAAGGCACAATTTTGATTTTAATCACCAATGTTGTTTCCGCCTTGTGGATACCACGAATATCTCGAAAAATGTAAGCGTGCCAAGCTTGGAAACTAAAGGCCGACCATTTAATTTGCAATATATAAAATCAATAAACAAAAACACAGTTGTTAAACATCGCGACAGCGAACGTGCCATATCGTAATTCGACACCAGCCGTCATGTCACTTGATTACACTACGTCACAGGAAGAAGTACGTCCTGCCTTAAATTTCCCAAATAGCCATTATCATGTCTGGTTACAAGATCAAGACCAAATCTTTTCCGATATCTGAAAACATTTGTACCTTTAAAAACATCTGGAATTGTTGTGATCTATTCGTACCATCCCACAATTGTTTTCTATTATAATAATCTATTATTACATCACAATTGTAATTTGCTCTAGAATGGAGACGATTTTTCTACCATATATCTCGTCTTCTCTCCTTGTTATGCTCTTATTTTAGAACAAAGCATTTCCGGGTTACAAGCAAGGGAAAGGTGTAATGTTTAAGGTTATAAAAACAATATTACATTTCCGTTGATGAGGTCACGAACAACCGACATTTGGTTACATACTGAAATGCATTCTTTTCACACTATTGTCAAGCTCTTTCCTCCGTTAATGGTGGGGTGGCTTTTTAATTTTTAATATCGGGCCACAATCAATTCGCAAATAAACAACGAGAATCAAATCAACTGCACATGTAGCACACGTATATTTACGTTCAATGAATGAAACTAATATTTAAACCATTGGAAAAATAGGTTAGTACATTTTTTTTCAATTCACCATGCACTTAATTTTGTCACACATAATAAAACGGCGTGAATGCGATGTATCAATATCCCAAGCATGGACAAAGTATAATAATAAATTGACAAAATTTAATAAAGATCAAGCTTAACCAGGTATATAAAACTTTAGAATAAATAATATTTATAAGCGTGGCGGCCTGCCGTGACTCTAATGTGGCAACCGCATTTGTGGGTTGAAATCGTGTAGCATGCCCTCATGATTGTCCAGCTAGATGTTTGCAAAACATGGATCGTGTTCACATTTCGGTTTGCCTTTTAGCGAAAGAAAAACAACACTTCGTACGTCACTAAGAGGTAAACATCTACCTGCCCGGATCTGTTTTGACATTTTGAGTGACGTAAGTAGTGGAGCGGTCTTGCCTGGGCGGTAAAATAATAATATTTCTTTGTTTGGCTAAAACAGATATCATTCTTAATAGAAGTATTTCTGGATCTCGATTTAGCCCGCGGACTTCGTCGAGTAATTTCATCCGATCGAAATAAGTTGAATTCTCAGCAAAACTTCGTCTTCAGCTGATGTAGAATGAAGTTTACTCTCATGTTTCTAATTTCATTCAAACGGAGGTAATTCAGGAATGGTAGTTTGTACATGGAACTGATCTGAATAAAAATATATAAAACATTCATTTCCTGAAAACCTACATCATTGATTTCAATATATTATAATTGAAAGGTAAAAGTTACTGCAATACCTAAGATTAAAAGGAAGTTTTTCATAACCTACAAAGCGAAAGATTGGAACTCCACAATAGCTAGTCAAGATATTGCAACACCCCAATGTTATTGCTTCATGTTGTTACAGCATAATGCGTTTTCGCGTTGCATGGTTGTTCAAAGACAAGTAAAGACGCGTTCTAAGATTGACGTTCATGTTTACCAATTTCCTAACCATTCTTATATATTAAATTTAAATACTAATTTGCGATTTTAAAAGTTCAAAGGGCTCATGCCGCTCGATTTTGCCGTAACGTCATAATCGCATTGCACCATTTACTATCCACATATGTAAAATTAAAAAAAAAGTTTGGATTATATAAATTTTACTTATATATACGTGTGATCTACATGTACTGTCATTAGAACCATATTTTTAAGCAGTATATCATCACATCAAATTGAGCCTATTTGTAGCAAAATAGAAAAACCTTAGGACACCTCAGTAGATAGGGTCAACTCTAGAAGTCAACCAATGTATTCTCATTTCTTTCATGCATCGAAATATTGTTTGTAGATAACAAAACTATTTTTTAGTTTATTTCTGGTTGATTGATAATAACCGCCAGTCATAGCAGTTTGTTATCATAAATCTAACTTTACAACTGTAAAGTAATTTACCTTGCCCATCTTTGGCCTAGTCGATACCACCTTGCATATTGCTAGGGTCAGTATTTTTCTCATCCTCATCCATAAATTTAGAGTCACAGATCTTTCTTACATAAAAAATTCGCGTTAGCGCTCATTGCTGTTTGGTCGGTAAATAAAATAACGAATGGATTTGATGTGTCATTTATGATACAGTGTTGTTTACAAGATTAAAGACTTTAATAATCATTAAAAGTATTATATTTCAATATTCATGTATTTATTGACTCGATGTTTTTTCCATAACATGTCAAAATACTAAACCGATCCCGTCAATGAGCGAAAATCGAAAAGAAACATAAATATGCAAAAATAAAGTCGAACAAAAACAATTCAGTTTTTTCAATTAATATTCATTAGTATTTATTTTTCCTATAATCACCACCCGAATGACGTGAAACGTGGTCATAGATGCAGTTTAAAAGCCTTACGCACCTATGACATCCGACTCTCCCACGGGTTGAAACGAGGTCAGATATGCCACAATACAAACTGGATATGATCGATAATCGGATATAATTTTAATCTATAAAACGCTTTTTCCGAACTTCGATGAACTCATCCAAAAATAATGTCAACTTCAGAAGATTTTGGTGATAGAGACACGAGTAGAAGGAATATGCATTATTGTACACACTGGTCTTGACACTTTTATCATCATTTTTTATCCAAGCTAGAGACATTTGAATACATTACTAAAAAAAACGATTGACACATCTTGTCTATGTGGCAGCCCAAAATTGTTTCTACGGGAGAGGGAATTCGGTACTCCTGAAGTATGCGCACCAAGATGTCGCACAACCTGAACCCTGACCTGGTACACAACCTGAGTTCAGGGTGTGCGCCATCTTGGTGCGCATACTTCAGGAGGTCCGGGAATTCAAAATGCGATTGGGGTCAAATAATCATTTCTGCACCTAACTATGAGTTGAGTATATAAGTTGGTTACATACATATAACACTACAACTTAATTGGGGGAAAGCAGACGTAGATATTCCGTTCGTATTCTGTCCTCATCTGCCTATAGTGTGAACTTAATTACGTAATATATGCATGAATGGGCACGATGACGTATGGGTAAGCGCGGCAGGTGTAATAAGAACAAAAACGGAGACGCCGTATTAAATTTCATAAAAGAATATTTATTCTTGAAATTTTTTCAACTTCGAGTAAATTATCATAAATATAACTTGTGAACAGAAATTTCTAATGTGATACTGCAGAATAAGTGACGAATCTAAATATCGAAAGATGTTAATAAATTTTAGTACATTGTTCAGTAAGTCATACATGTTAAATTTTTCAATAACTACACAAGAAAGTTTAATTCAAACGCATTGGGAACGTTTAAGTTGGGATTATTATAATTCATAGACGTGGCTCGCACGTTAGTATTCGCAGTCAGTCATTTTAAAAATAAAACGGTTTCCGTTCGGTACACGATCTTAGGTGTTTATTTATTTATCAAGTCAAATGAATCCCGATCAAAATACTTAGCAAATGGAATACATATACAATGTACGACAAACGGGCTCAAAATTAGGCGTTTTGGGGGAGTGAAAGGTCGGAGGAAACTTCAATGATTCACTCATAGGTCGCGTCAACCGGAAACGAGGCCCGGGTCAAGAACAAACAAAAAGGGACTTTCTTGGCTAAAATGCCATTTTGGAATCCCGCATTATTCGATCAGATACTTGTATTCATAATCTAACGTAGAACAAAAAATAGTATTTCAGTTTTTCCCATTTCTCTAAGCTATTTTAGATACGAAAACCAAATATATACGACAAAGAAATATTAGTAAAATATGAGTTACTTTGTATTTCCCGAATTGTAAAACGTGTGGGATTTCCGAGTTTTTACGGTTGTCTAATATTATTATTTTCGATTCTTTTCTAATTAATATCCATAAAATTGAAATACCGACACTTCTACTCACTGTTAGATTGTAAGTACAAAATAATATTAATATTTAATAACACCTTCCGAATATATTTGAAATTTGATAATAATGTTTTATTCAATAAAAAAAAACAATAAATTGAATCAAAAATTTTACTTTTTGTCGCCATTCCAGGCATAGGCTCAGTCGAATTACATGACGCATATTGGTTTGACGTCACTTGGTTATCAAATTTACTCTCTGGAGAAATAAATTTAGAAGTGTAAACAAGTTAAAACCCAATGAGCGTCATTTTATATTATTTTATAGAAAATTGTAGACATTTTTACTAGATGTCCAATCTCGATTCTCATATTCAATCTTAAGGATATTTATTAATATTGTCATCATTCTAGTATTTATAATATCGATAATGGGGATTTAAACTGATCTTAAGAAGTGACGTCACAAACAACATGGTGTCAAAACAAGTCAAAAATATCGCGTCATAATTTGGTTTTTGACGTTAGCTATGTCCATATGCCACCTTTACAATTGAAATGAGATAACTGAAACTGTATTTATCAGCAATTCTAACGATCAAATCAACACAAAAATTATGTCATATATTCGAAAAAATAATATCGAACTGAAAAATTATGTTTTGCATTGAGTCAGGTAGTGGTTTAGATTTACAAAAACAGTCCCATCTTGAATCGAAAGAATCTGTATGACAGGTGACGGGTGTTTGATGTTTTGATCAAAATAAAAAGTCTATGTCATGGGATTCACGTGCTCGTTACTTTACTCGTGTTTTTATTCTACAGTTACAATTTTCAATTTGCTCTGCAATTAAACTAAACCAGAATATCTACATGACTTTGTATTAATTATTTTATATATATTATAATTCATTGGTACTGTGTCGAGCGTGGCCAAATGGTATGTTCGACAACGTTTTCCCGAATACAAAGTGTAGATTTTTATATTCAAACAAAATGTAAATTCAATTGTCGTATATCTTTGGATGTTTTTACGAATGTACTTGCAATATTGAGTATTCTTAGCCTATTCCTAGTAACAAAGAAAAGTTGTTTAAAAATAAAATTTGGTATGAAGAGTAAAGAGTTGTAAGCGATCCATCATAATTCCAGATACAGAACCTCTATCAGAATTCGTCCCTAGCCTTCATAATATTGTATTTGAAGCTCATGGGGAGAATTGGGGAAAACCCGAATTATCGAATACCAAATTTAAGCATAGCCGAAGTTAAGGCTTCTTGTCTAATATTTGTATCGGTTAACGATGACTTGAAATTTTTTGCAACACAAACCGATTAGCAAGGCTCTTTTCTGGTGACTACAGCCGAAGATGGCCGAAAGGGAATAGAGCCTGTACCCAAATTTAATTGTTTAGCATAGCCAAATATTGGGACGGGTTTATCGTTCAACCTATCTGAGCTTTTTCTAGACTTTCACTTCTTTTCTCTTCTTCACTTCACTTCCTTTTTTCTAAACTTCTAATTTTCTCTCGTTTTATTTCACATAGCATCGGCCATGCGAAGTTTGACACGCTATGATTAGCTGGTCAAAAATCACATGACGCACATATGCTTTTACTTGCATGTGGAAATTTTTATGTTTTTTCCTGGATCAACTAGAAATGTTTCAGCTTTTTTTTAAATTCACGCACAACGTTTTTCAGTTCGACTGGTAGTTGTTAGTTACCACTATATGACTATACTATACTCATACTATATTATGCATCAGATTTTGATAAACTTAAGAATATTACATAAAATGGCATATCTAAAGTGACTTTATTCATAGCATGGTCATAAAATCGGTGTAAAAATTATGCATATCTGTGTTTAATGTAATTAAAAGTAAATTCACACCCGTTTTTTTTGTAATAAGTGACATCAATGTTAGAAAGCGACCTGATATAGCCTTCCAGGAGCTGGAGTAGTCACATTTCCAGGAATAGAAATACCTGGAATCGGGACTTTACTCTTAGTAGTTTCCTGCCTTGAAGTATGAATAGCACAAATTGCAGCGACATGAATATTCCAAAGTCTTTAAAGTAATCTTTCGAAAATTGTGCGACGCTCGGAAAATCTATTGAATTTTTACTGAGCACGATATTTCCGCTGCAATACTGTATTCTGCACACAGAATTGCAACTCAGAGATGATAACCGCGTCTGTTGTCTGCTGCAACCGTAAGCACCAATTTGTCGTATTCGTCTATTTCGGGGATCTGACAATATTATAAATAAAAGTAACACGGAAAGTTCGCCGTGGTGGAGAAAGAGAATCTTCACCTCGGAGACGCTGTAAATTGCATTTTGGCATACCCCCGTTTAATTAACGTGAAAACAATACTTAATAAGGGTTACAATAAACCCACACTTAATCACACACTTGCGTCAAATGAAATGAATAAAATTAAACAAACTTGTAATTCCTCGCATATCGGCCTTTAAACGGGTCACATGGGATCAATGACACGTTTTTATAAATATATATAATTCAATTCATCACGAACCGTGATGGCGTTACTATCAAACAGACAATTAAAATTTAAGTAAACGGATATAAGATAATGAATACTGAAACAGAACAGTATCCTATTTGAACGATGACTACGATTCTGTATATGTACAATAGGTTCTTAAATACATCAGAAAATGGTCTAGAATGCATTTGTTATTGGTCATTTTTGACACCAATAGCCCCAACAGAAGATGGAATTAGATTACTGGGATATATAATACTGAAACAAACAAACTCTCATCTGATGAAGTGGATAAATTTGGGTTAAGCACATACTCCACTTGCAAAACGCCAACACTGTTTGCACTACCCCAATTTGGAAACCAATCCAAGCGTAAAATATTATACGCAAATTCGCATCGTATTAGAAACCTTATCAGTCATTTAAAATCAAAAATTTTGGCGCAATCACCGAAGTGTATATATGTATATATACCCAAACACCTGACGTGGTTTGTAGAACATCGCATAGATTAATTTTATGCTGTTTAAAAATCAGAAAATTCGACAATATCTCATAGAAAGACATAGATCATTAAACGTGGAATATGTTGACGATACTTTTGAACCGAACAATAAATAATACAACAAAAACCTGGTTTAAGATTTTAAATATATTTTTTATTTTCTGTTTAAATTTGAACATTGTCAAAATTAGGCTGGTTACAGATTATTCAATTTTGTACGCAATTTTTTTGCAATAATACAAAACGTATTGTGCTGTTTCGACGGTAGCTCGCTTGCAGTGCGCGTGTGTGCTGAGCATTATTCTGAATATACGCGTGGTGACACCGGATGTGATGACACACAGGCAGATGACAGAGCGTGTTATGATAAGCATAGCTGCTTCTCTGCTCAGAGCAATAATAAAATATGCATATGCATCCCACTATGCATAAAATAAAAATAATATTATGCATCATTGCCACGCCAGGTGAATTGCGTTCTTCAAATTAGGTATATTCTGCAAAGCTATCGTATAATATATAATTTGTCCTAGCCTGCCAAAGCCATAAAGATTTAACATTCACCATATTTCCCCATCACTTGAATTGATCAAAAATTAAAATATTCGACCTCATTCTGAAGATATCTGAGGCTTGCAAGGCGTGAATTCGACCAGAGTGCTACGTTGGGTGGTTTATATTTCATGTTTTAATCCGATAACGAGGCACTCGCTCATTTCTTGATATACAACCTATTTGAGGTCCGGTTGCCAAAAAAAATCAAAAAGATGGCTTACATTGAATCCGAGTAAGTGCTAAGTTTTAATGCCTTTTCTACTCAATTTGCATTATAAAAACTGAGGAGGAAAGTGCAGTCAATATCTTACCACTCAAAATAAGAAGTTGAAATCGAAGTTTCAAGCAAAAAAATATTTTTCGTGTAAAATCTTAAAATCGCTGCGGAATACGCTGTTAACGATATTTAAGAACTATGTAATTGATTCGGTGTTCTCGTATTTTAAGTATATATAGTAGTCCAAAGTTTTAGTAAAAAGTAAAAAATGGTTTATTCCGGGGTTCGGGATGAAGTTTCGAAAGTTGAAATTTATACATCCAGTTATCTGACGTAAAATATTCATTCGTTATCCCAAGGGTGACGGATATAATTGTGCTTACATATACGCAACGAGAAAAAATGTTATCCTCGGCATTCGATACCATAACTGAGGGTCTAAAATGAGTGAGGTCAACTCGGGCCACTTTCAGCTACGATTAATTCTTGGCGAAAAATAACGGTATGGAGTCAAAGTCCGAACATGTCAGAAATCGACACAGGAGGCTATACTTTTGATCGTTTGTGATAACTTTGATTAATGATTCCTGGTAGCCTGGTAACCTGACGCCTTGTTAATTTTATGAATATGTATTTCACATTAAGATAAATCTACTATATTCTATCAATGCCTAACTTAATCCTCATAGTTTGCGATAAATTCTGCTATTATTTAATTTATATTTATCAGAAGAAATTGTGATTATCATTACTACTAAATTCATATATTCACATTAAGACACAACGAAAATTAAACACAAAGATTGTCTTTGGAACAATTATTCCACTGTTTTACTGAACGCACGCGAGTATCAAGTGCAAATTGAGGCTTACAACTATATAATTACTATTTTTGCTGTGATTAAATGATTTTCTTGTCGCCGAGTAAGGAAAGCGCTAATGAATTTTTTATGAGGTTATTGGTTTCTGCGAAAGCCTGGTTAAATGAAAAGCTTTACACATCAAAGCTTTAATACTTGCTGTGCAAACTTATTTGCTTTTATTACAATATAACATTGATAGCAGTATTTAAATTTATGCAGTTGCAACTCCGTCAATACTGAACATTTTTATTCAAATCAACCACAAATTTGAACTACGAAAATAGTAAAATATTTTTGTTAGTTTAAAACAATTTTTGACGGAGTTCATCAGTCGTCTATTTACCTATTGATCAAGGCACTTTTATAAATCATTTTGTTCTAACGCTAGCATATCCTGGTTTGCAGTGTCAAAAAGTTCACTGTAAACCTCTTCGAACTTTGCCATACCGAAAACTTTTATTCTCGTTGATGTACGATTTTACAATACGATTTTTTGAACGGTTAGAATATGAAATATGTGGGGAAAGATTATTGTCATTGCCAGCCAAAATTTTAAAAGAGCACTCCGAGGCTGTACCTTCACATTGGGAAACTTTGCGTTAAATATATAGGATCTTTATATCAGAATTTTTCTACTAGAGGCTTATGTGGATTCTTGGGAAAGGACATTTGTAAGTCTTTCAACGAGATATGTCGAGTTTTTCTAAATTACATTTAGGTTTCCTGCTTAGGAAGCTATAGAGATTGCACGCGACATCACTGCACACCACGATTCCCTTGAAACCCCTGTTTTATCATGCTATATCTTCTAAATCACATTTGTATAATTTTTCGGTATTTTTCGTTTATTTTCTTAAAGAATTCGGGAATAAATACATAAAAGGCCATGGAAATATGAAGAAAAGATAATAAAGGAAATAAAAAAAGTAAAGCAATAAATAGAGATAATGAAATTGTAAATAATAATAATACGAAGAATAACAATAGAGATCACCAAAATAATTTGCACTTTATGTAGAAAAAGCGACAAAAAAGCAAGAAACGCGCAGAATATAAAGATCAACGGCACAAACATACTTGATTAAGTATGAACAATAATAAATACCATTCATTGGTTCATGCCTTAACGAGTTTAAATCGGGCTCAAACGTTCTTTTTACATAGCGGAACAGTCGTAAATAAAAATTGATAGAGTAACAACAAGGAAATTTGACTTGATTTACTGGACGTTTCTATCAGTGTAAAGATGATGTTTTTTGTTTGCAGCTTCAAATTTAAAAATGGAAAACTTGTTGACAATGGTTGTAATCTTGGGAACAACAGTACAAATCAAGAAATACAAAAACATGTGACGCCGAATAGGAGAATATATTTTAGTGTGGCGCCAGTGTTACTTTTATTTGTGTTGTTCAAATTTCTACTATGGTGTTTTGTCAATATTGGGAAACAAAAAAACAAAAAAAAATGTTTATATTTATTGGGCAAGTATCTTTCCATAATATACAGAAAAAATTGAGCGAACTTTTGCTCATTGTGCGTGCGATGCCAAAAATAAACAATAAATAAATTTACAAAAGTTAAGATTTTCAACGTTTGGTAGTAAATTGTGGCAAAAATCAGTGTGCATATAGGGGGAATTTAACACAAAAATGGCTACGATTTCCAAAATTTAATCTTATTCAACAAATATGTAACAGTGAGTCTATTGTTGAAGTATTCTGAGACCAATAATCCACATTTGTCATTATTCATATTAAAATTCAAAACTGATATCGAACAAGCAGATATTATCATTTATTGTAATATATATCTGGATGGCTTCAAAGGCATTTAATATCAGATAGCATATCGAGGCAGTTTGAGCTTACTATAGCAATTTAACCCGTTAGGAAAAATATAACGAAACAATATTCATAGCCAGATAAACAACAATATTGCACAAAACAATTTTCAAGATATTTCCTTTACGGAAAACTACGTTGGAATATACAATATTGTAGTGACGTGCTTTGGCGTATAGATCAGAATAACGATGTGAACACAACGGAGACTACTGCTTAACGTTTCTGGGTTAAACTGAGTTAGAAGGAACTGCGGTTGCGCTTCCTGTATGTGCTACTCTATGCCTCGATAGACCAACAGCAGCCGCTTAGCGGCTGTTGTATAGTGTATAATATTTCACAAACGTGACTGCCCGCCAAACTCTTTTGAAGCCATATGCTTGGATTAATTTAATCAAGTTTCTAGATTTTGTATGCCCCAATATACTTGTGGAAGTTAAAATAAAATTATTAAATTGAATAACACATTGCATCGGGGTACGTCTCAAAATAGCGAATTGTAGAAAAGACTAAAAGTACATAATATAGCAATAGCACAGTAACCGTCACAGTAAATATTCATCCGTTTTTAGTATTCACTATTCTCTGCTTGCCGCAGCCTTCAACCAACTGAAACATTTTATCACATCCAATTGTTGAAATTTGGGTAAGCGATACAAATTTATGTAAGTGTATTTTCTTGGATACCATGTGTGTAATATAGTGTTTTCAACTCACTGGTCCAACCTCCCACACCAGCATCCACCACTGGTCGCGCGATATCAGTTCGGCGACGTGGCATCCTCTGAAACCGACAAATCTTCACATGTCGCGATTCATGTTTCAATTTTTGAAATAAAATCAAAAATTGACTTGCTGTTGGCTCATCATAAGCTGACACCCAGAGTTAACATGAGCCATAACTTTTGACTTGAGATCGGCCACTTGTTGTCGCAAGATATTCGCATTTGTTGAAAGTTCCATGTTTTGGGTTTTAAGACTTTTTACTTTGTCTTCGAGTCTGGATATTCTTTCAAGCTTACGCTTTCTGCATTTGCTGGCAGCTACACGATTTCTCTGGCGTTTTCTTTCTGATTTCATCACTTCTTGGTTTACGAGGTCTATTGGTGACATAGGCGGTGTGTTTGACATGACAGGCACGATTTGAGAAGGCTCTTCTTTTAAATGGGCGAGAGCTGGATTGCTCATATGATGTATTGTTCCTCCAAGCACCTGATTTATTGCCATACCCGACGTTGCTGATGGATGTTGATAATACTGTTCTGACACGTATGGCTGAAGTTGCCTGACCATTTGCTGTTGACTTGCGCCGGTTGTTATCACAGAGCAAGGCGACGATTCAGCGCCTATACTGGCGGCAGACTGAATGCCCGAAGCCGGTATATCAGGATTACTGCCGCTTCGAGATTTGAGCCTTTCTAATTCTCTTTCAAATCCCTGAGCATACATTTCTTGTTCCTGAGTCACGCCCGACGTAATATGCTGTTTCTGCTGCATGTACTGCCCGTTGTTGTGAATGTGCGGGTTGTGTCCCATCAGCCGCTCAAGATCCGGTGAGCCGAGCTTTAACATATTAACGTCGGGCGATGCGAGAGTATAAGCCGATCCGAGAGTTCCGTATGCGTTGGTGATTACGCCGTGGTGTTGAGCAGCTTGTCCGTTGATTACGCTGCCGTTATTCAGCCTGTGATGCGTATTTCCGTTTTGATGATGAGTATTGTTCTGTTGAACAACACTAGAATGTGAAGCTATAACGGTATTTTCTATCGGCTTCAAATGTTGTTTCAGCTGTGTGTGTGGCCCGTCTAAATTTAAGTTCATATTCTTCAAAACTACGTCTTTATTAAATTCAACCCCTCCGTAGGGTGGACAAATAGCGGACACTACCCCGATGTCTGTACTGCCTGCGCTGCCGACCGAGCTTGGTGATGACTGTTGGTCGTAATTAACCAAGTTATCTTCGTGGTAGAACGAAGCAACTTCCATCGCTATAGAAGAACGCGGGAGAAGGTGTGGGATAATAGCAAGAGAATAAAATCACTCGACTGTAGAGAGGTACTAGTTGCTCTCACGCCTATGTCGGTCTATGACTCAGAGTCTGACTGACGATAGCAACTTTGTGGGCGATTGGGACGTTTGTGTGTGTCCACTCGGTAGTTTCAGTGATGTTCAACTTTCTCCTAGCTGGATTGGTTGCTTCCGCTGTCTTAAGAAGCACTCCCTTCTATTGATCTTTTTTAAGATGACACGAGTCTGTTCTTATTGTAACAGCCGGAAGTAAAACGATTGATGCAATATAGCAGCTTCTGTACACGAACAAGTCTTTGTTCTATAATGTTAAAACTATTTTCAGATCCACTGGGTATATATCTTTGTAATACAAATCCTCGCAATCGTATTTAGACTTTGTAATATTATATCTATAAAAGAGATAAATAAACTATTAGTATTTCATACAATCCGAACGAATTTTGCAACATAGTTCACTGATCGCTCACATATCTGAAACATCACAGCTCGCTAACCTGAGTATATACCAAATTGTATAAAAATATTTAACGTTCGGAATAATCCACTCTTGAATACCTGCCACAGACCAAGCCCGTATTTTAAGCTGTTTCCAGCTCCTTACGAGACCATGGACAGCTACAGAATAACAACCGTGGATATGTGCCGATGGCTTTTAGCGCAGCTTAAGCAGATATATTTAACCCTGACGTATTTTCTTAGCTTTTCCATTGGCTTGCCATGACGTAAGGCTGTCAGTCGAATGAAGGCAAGAAAACGAGAGAAAATTTGAAAACTCTCGAAAGCCTTTTTTCCGTGCGTCAGCGCTTGCGTTTGTTTTGCGCAGGAGAAAGGGATATATTTGCCTCAGGTACTCCCTGTTTGCTTACGCGGCGCACAGCCATAAACCAGTACCGATTGCAGTGACGAGATAATAAAAGTGTCTAAAGAACAAAGTCTCGTGATTTGGTTGGTAGGGAAAATACCAAGGCTAAACGAAAGACCAAGGTCCACTTATATAAGCAAAACGTTGAAACGGATAGTTTGGGTTTGCGTGTTTTCTGGAAAAATTTGAAGACGAACTATTAATTTTATCACAAATACTAATTCATGAACTCCAAACTTTCCGCACTTTCACAGTTTATTTGAAAAAAAACAATTTCTGATTTAAATATGATTCTAATTTATCGAATATAATTATGCGAGCTCCTACAAAACATATTTTTCATACAAATTATAAAAAAAAATTAAAACATCTAACTTCAAGCCCTTGCGAACGAAAACAAAGTAGCCAAAGACCACTGAAAGCGAAACATAAAATCGTGTATTGCAGTATCATGTCCAGTTCACAGGAACCGGAAAAGGCCGAAAACTAAGAATCAATCGGACTCATTTGACTCGAAATTTTAATTTCTTAAAACGCGGAAGTAAAATCAATAAAATGTTAGACAGGAAAGGTAAATATTTTGATTTTTACTACTGTATTCAGTTACAAATTATGTAATGGAAACATGAAACTAATCATGGCCACCACACGCAGTTATTAATTATTATGCTTTTTTCAAATGGGTGGCATTAGTTCCACAGCTAATGCTGAATTTTTTACATTTTCAGCAATTTCCTCGAAATCAAGCCTGCATTGAATTTCAGCTATATAGCTTTGAGCAGCTACTGGCAAATTTTCTCTCACTAAAAAGCACTTTATAGTTGATGCAGGGAACCCCGGATGGAGAGTCAGGAATGGGGATGGATCAATTGTGGCCAGAGTTAGTATTTTTACTTTTTTATTCTGCTACACTGTCTCAATCAATCTTTCGTAGATATTCGGCCTAAACGTGACCTGATGGTTGCTTCTACAATCCAATATAAATCGCGGTTGAATGCGAGAAACATTGCTGCAAAGTTGTATGGTGTATTGATCTCCGTTCGACTTATTCAAAAAATTTTACCCCAAATTTACCCCCACAGTAAAGTACCGGAAAGGTCGTTTACTCGCTATTCTCATTGGCCTCGGTTATCCTTTTTTCTTTAAAATACCATAGTTGCCCCTCATCTTAGCTATCTAGGAAGATGTCGCTATGTTTGAATATAGTATTACAGCACAATGTACATTTTAACGCATCTCTTTCACTGTTGAAAGGTTATACCACTCTGTGCCTGCTACATCAAACCACGTGCAACGCCATATCAGTCAGTCATATTAAATAAACTTAATGTTCGAGACATCTCTTCAGATCGCAAAAATTGTTTGACTGATACTTGTAAACACCATGAAACCATTCATATTAACAAAGTTTGCTGATAGCTGTGATAGACAGTGGAAAAAGATTTTGGTGTCAATCTCATACAAAGTGACATATCGATTAAACAATGGACTGAATACACGGCATCAAATCTGTTCTATCGCCAGCATTGTTGTTATTATTCAAGCAAGTCAAATTCATAAGACTATATTTCCGCTTTAGGCTGCTTGCATTCTGCATGGAAGTCTACAGACCAATACCAAACAAAGACGAAAACTAACAGGCTGAAACCCGACTGCGTTGTTGTTTCGCAATCTAATTGAGACACTGGCGGGAATACAGTGTGCACCTAAGAAATTATATTTTTTCATAAATGTAGTAAACAAGTTCTATAAAACAGACTGAAGCGTACCATACCTACATTTACAATAAGAGCATATTTTTCAAACGGTACGCGTAAATATTTATTTCTACAATTGTGACATAGGAAGGAAAATGATAACAAAGAGAACATTGGTTAGCTTGTTTTTGCTGAAGCGCGGGGAATTCCAGTCTATCTTGCCGTGTGAAAAACAACCTCATTCAACCGTCCGTCGAACACCGTGGACGATTTGTTTTTCACAATCGGTAGATCGAAGTAGGAGGCGATTAGCCTTGCGTTGATCATGCTTGGGTTGACAATACCTGGCGAACTTGAGAACGGAGTTAGCTGTGGATCATGCGTGAAAAAACTATTTCGTACGTGTTCTTGAAGAGTATCATCTTGTGTGGTAACTTAGTAACTAAGAAATTGCTATAAACAAACATACGATTTTTTGATATGCCGCTTTTTTTAATTGCATTTGTAGGTGATCTTCCCGACAAGGATCAGTTCGAATGTGGATTGATCTAATTCTAGTCGGACACTGTATTATGCATTAAAATATGTATGTTATATTCAATCAACAAAACGTCCACTCCTTTCCATAAAATCATTTTGATACCCTAATGAGGAGCGGAGAGATTTTAGAGTTGCTAATTCTTACCAATCAATAACAATTAGTAATGTACTTTAATCCTATCTATGCAGAATTTTGGGGGAGTTGAAATGACTCATTTGTCCTAATCCAAACATGGAATTTGTCATTTCGCCGCTCAAGTACAATGTCGAATGATTGAAATGTTATATCTAATTACTTATCGCATTAAGTCCTTATGGATCGGTTAAATTTGCGACAATATCAGGAAATGTCCTAAACCAGGGCTACTCAATTATTTTTACCGGATATCCACATACAAAACTTCAAAAATATTTGGGTCCGGTCTTTCCAAAAATTTATTTCGGCACCCCTAAACATGCACTTCCTCAGCCGCCTAATGATTATTAGCCAATCAAGATTGTTTATTATGGCGTTATAGTTGTTTTCATATATATTTAAATCTATGGAATTGATTTTATTGAAGGAAACTTCAAAAGTGGGGCTAATGATCCAAATTAACGAATTAGACGCGGTCCGTATCGAATACCTGAAAGGTTCGGACCGCGGTCCGCCAGTTGAGTATCAGTGTCCTAAACTTTGAAAACAGAACGCTATTGTGAAATAATTACACCGACCTGTCTTGGTTTATCCATTTTGTATTAAAATGATGATTATGGTCAGATGGAGCGGTATATAATCTAGCTAGGTGACTTAATATAATTTGAATCGATATTTATTTAATGCCACGAAAATTCTTTATTTCAAAATAGCCTATATGCCGTTCAATGCATTTCCAATTATGTATTAATTACCTAATTTTATCGCTTTCAACAAATTTATTGTAACAATCCATGACAATTGGTACCGAATTTCTGTTTAACTAATACGAGGGTAGGATTTTACAAGACTTTTAACCCAGATTGGAGCGAGGACGCCGATGTTAGCAAAAATAATGGATACACAGTCGGTGGGGCAGTCATGGAATGGATTCTTTGTATGCTCGCGTATGGAGAATTTTCCTACTCTTGGTAGTTACCCATGTATTTATTGTACGTACCATTGATTCATGCTTGGTTGTCAATATGTTCTGATAGCTGTTTATAAGTTTTCGCGACAAAACTGTGATCCATTGTGAATACTGTTACAATACTACAGCAAACAATATACGGTAAACTATCATTGTCACAAAGTGGCTTTATATCTGAGCTTGTTGTTTCAATTTCTCCCGAGTAGTATATTTCACACCAGTGTTGATTTGCAATGGGAACAGGGCTTTACAAAGAAATGTTGTAAGGAGAATCATTTGAAGAACCGGAACCCGACATCGGGGTCGCGACAGGAATGACACTCGGTATGTAATGGCATTGTCGTTCATAAAAAATGAAAAGTGGTTATAGTCAACTGATACAGTTCAAAAAATATTACAATTTAGCATCTAAAATATAACTGTGATGTCATACTACCGGTTTGTTGTTCATGGGATACGTCTGAAATATTTTCATTCTAATTCCAAACGACCCTAAATGCCACGTGACATGCTATAAATAACCTTCCTGGCCATCAAGTGATTGTAAATCGCTGTACACGTGTTATAAAATTTGCACAAATAAGCCAACCAATTTTCATGTTGCAAACAGCACGTAACGTGCTTATTCATACACGGAGGCAATAACCAATTTACAACCATAAACTCTGCGAGTGTTGACTTGGAATAATCTCAAAATATATTTCACTAGATGTGTTATATAAGTATGTCTCATTTGTACTATTCCAAATGACAGATCCCGAATAATTTGAAATATTATTACTTATATTTTCAGGGTGTCCTTTTGGAGTTCTAATGGGTTCAACTTGTCAGGTTTGAGTTTGGCTCTGACACGAAATTTCAACCCCATACCGGTTTTAGGTCGAATTTTAAATAATCAAGAATTCTGAAAGGGCTCAATGGTGTAATACGTTAAACCAGCTTTGACTGCACGTAATTATTCCTGCTCTATAAAATAAAAGATCTGTTTGCAAATACAAGATTTTGGAAGAAGGTTTGTAGGTATTTTGATCCTTTTCCCGATAGGACAGTTTTCGAATAGTCTGTAAATTAGCTTTTGTTCATACCACGTTTGTTAGCCACGACTTGTTTATGCAAGTCATGTTTGATTTATACTGCTAGTTTATAAAAGCTTAAAATCGTGTCAACCTCAATCTATCCGGTCTATCCTATTTAAATCTATTTAAAGATCTTCGCCGTCACACGTGCCCCGATCGAGTTGAAAACATTGCTGATAAATGTTTCTGTCTTTAAATCTCGTACAATTATTACGTTCGTTCTGTTTATTTTTGGAATATTTTATATCATTCACGTTTCTATTTGCCTATATATAAATAAATGTTATTTTCGACACCTGAGTTTTAGAATT